TTCCAGAATGACCTGCCATGCCAGGGGTCCATTCAAACTTCACTAGCTTCATGGAAAATCCGCCCTCACATAGGCCTGTGCAAGGGATCATTCTAGAGCTGGTACACAAAGTAAATATAATCCTTAATTTTATAGAGCTTGTACTGTGGTGCAAGAAAGAGATTAAACACAAAATATATATATATATATATACATATATATATATACACACACACATATATATATAAATTACAAATTATAATTAAATCCTTATTATGGGTTGAATTGCTTCCCCTGCCCCCAAATGCATATGTTGAAATCCTAACCTCAGTATCTCAGAATGTGACTGGACATAGGGCCTTTAAAGAGGTAACTAAGTTAAAGTGAAGTCATTAGGGTGAACCCTAATCCAGTGTGACTGGTGTTGTTATAAGAAGAGATTAGGATACACCCATACACGGGGAAGACCATGTCAGGACGAAGGGAGAAGACGGCCATCCATAGCCAAGGGGAGAAGCCTCAGAAGAAGCCAACTCTGCCAACACCTTTATCTAAGACTTGTAGCCTCCAGAACTGTGAGAAAATGTTTTTCTGTTGTTTAAACCACCCAGTTTGGTACTTCATGTGTCAACCCTAGCAGACTAATACAAATGCCTAAAATAAAAGAGTGTTTCAGAGAAAGCACCATTAAAAGAATGGTAAAGATGCTGATCAGAGAAGGCATCTCTCAGGCAGTACATATAAGCCAAGAAATAAAAAGACTAAAAATGAACGACAGGAAAAACAGCAGCAGATCCTTTTAGAAGGCAAAAGAAACGAAGGTACTTCGTTTGCTTTGCTTAATTATCTTGCCACCTACAGAACCAAATAGTCCTGGGAAACAGTCTTTCTGAATTAACTATGTAAGAGGAAAGCTCATGTACAGCCAATTGCATCACAGTCCACAGACTCTGAAGTATTGAATGAGCATAAAGTTAAAATTTTCATTGTAAGACAAAGTGTATTTGATATTATTCACACACTGATTTAGGAACATTTCTGAAGGAAACAAATATTATAAAATATGTAGCTCAAACACTTCTTAGAAAAAAAGAATAAAGGGAGGTAGTGTTCTTTCTTATGGCTCATCAAAGAGGTTATGGACATTATAGAACCTGAATAGGCAAAACAAAAAAACAACAGAAAAGACTCTGATTAGTCAACGTTAAACCTCAGATAGAATAGTGATATACCTGAATAAATTGATTCTTCTTTGGTAAGCAACTGTATGCCCTCATTTTAACTTCACAAATAATAAGAATTACAGAATCATCCACTAGATGAGGGACCCGAGTATTTCTTGGTGGGCTGCCACACAAACTACTTCTGACATATGATTATTCAATTTGTCTTGTGAGACATTGAATATACAAATGAACAATGGCTAGACCAAACACAGCGACAGAACTCTGATCCACACCTCTGAAGCAATCTCCCCAGAATGATCGGGGCTTTGTCAAGACTTCCAGCTTCACTATTGTTTTGCCCCAGCTTCTGACTCAGGATCCACCAGAGAAAGTCAAATATTGAATCCTGGCCAATCACATAATATGCTCTGCTTCTATATAATTAACTCAGCTCCTGATTGCCCATGCCGACAACCTCTAACCAGAGCGTACCAGGGGCCTTCCTTATTTTCCTTCCAGAGCTTTCCTACTCCCCTGCCTGCTTCTGAATCTGTCAAATGCAGGTGATAATGGCTAACTCTTGCCGTAGCAAGCTCAGAATAAATAGCTTGTTTGTTCTCATTGGGTGTCCTTCACTTACTCCCATTCTTAACTATTTGCAAAGAAGAAAATGTCTGCTGGATCATCAGAAGAGGATGGGGATGAGAGTGACCTTCATGTTCCAAGATGGTCATCTTAGTGCCACTTGATATTTCCTCCAGGGAAAATGTCAGAGACTGGGAAGGCTAACAGCAGCCACTGAAACCTCGTAACAGTACCCTGCTGTCAAATGATGGGATAAGCCATCTAACAGAAAAATTCAAAGTGGTGATTATGTCTACGAAGTTGTAGTGATCTGGTAGCTGGCCAGATGTGCCTACATATCAGATAACTCACAGGACTTCACAGAAAAGCCTTATAGTTGGAATGATGATATAACTGAATTGGAGGTCTGGATAGTTGAAAGCATTCAAAGCAAGCTGGTTATAGCATCAGCTGTTATTCATTTTGCAGCTGGTTTAAATCTCACCAGTGTAGGCCTTAGGCAACTTGAATACAGCCTAGACTAGGAAGAGGCCATTGCTCTGGAAATACAATTTAGTCTTCAAACAAGAGTGCTGCACTAATGAAATGTCCTGGAGTAGATTACTCATCAATTTCCTTATCCTGACCACTGTGGAATTAAAATTAGATAACAAGATAGAATATTTTTAAAGGATAAACAAGAGTATTTTAAATAATTGGAAGAGCATAAATGCAAGACTTTCTAATGCACAATTGAATTTTCAGCACAATTAATTTTACACCAATGCATACAGCATTCAAATGAGGTTAGCATACTAGTGGGAGACCTGAGAGTGGGTATAATTCATGGGCTGCCAGGGGGAAGAGCAAAATGTGGGAAGGCCAGTGCTGGCTATTTCCTGGTTAAGCTCCTACTGAAATGATCAGAATGATAAAGGAGACTGGTAAGGCTCTCATTAGGGATAGAGATTAATATTCATTTTCTGGCAGCCATTTAAAGTCACTTTCTGAAAAATGACGTGGTGCTGCCTGCAATCTTACTCTTTGTTACTGTCAAATCAGAGTTCTCACCCACAGAAACCAGGCTGTATTTCAAGCTTCTTCCAGGTGAGCATCAAAGAAAACTCAGTGAGGAAAGTTGTCATCATTGTGCTGTGTTTTAGGAGGAGAGATTTTCAGTTGTCACCATTGCTGTACCTCTTCTGGCCCACAATACCAAATTTTTATATGAACCATCACCAGCTACATAGTTTCTCATTAGAATAGATTTTCCTTTTTTTCTAGAGGTAGATTCTCGGAGGTCTTGACAAGATAAATCAGCTAGTACAAAAATCAATTTTAACAGGAATATCCAATTACATCAAATAATTTACATATTAAATGTCACTGACACTTCTTTTAGGTTGACTTTTGGTAGGGGGTGGGGCTTAGCTAAAAGGAAAACAAGTAGAATATGAATTTCTTTTTTTCCAAGAAAGTAGACTTTATTTATTTATGCATTTATTTATTTCTAATCCTCACCCAAGGACATGCTCATTGATTTTAGAGAGAAGGGAAGGGAGGGAGAGAGAGAGTGAGAGAAACACTGATATGGGAGAGAAACATCGACCAGTTGACATCATTCATGCCCCAACCAGCAACCAAACCTGAGACCCAGGCCTATGCTCTGACTGGGAATCAAATTCGAGACCCCTTGGCCCACAGGATGACACTCCGACCACCTTAGCCACACCAAACAGGGCAAGTATGAATGTTTTTATCACATTGATTTTCAAGCTTGACTGTATATTGAAATCACTTGGAATGTAATTTTGAAATACCAATGCCTGAATCCCATCACCAGAAATTTAGTTTGATTGCAATAAAGACAAAGGTACGGCATTTTAAAAAATCACCCTAAAGCCCTGACAAGTGTGCCTTAGTGGATTGAGCACTGGCCTGAGAAGCAAAACGTTCAATTCCCACTGAGGACACATTGCCTAGGTTGAGGGCCAGGTCCCCAGTTGGGGGCATGTGAGAGGCAACTGATCACTGTATCTTTCATACATTGATGTTTTTCTACCTCTTTTTCTCCCTGCCTTCCACTCGCTCTAAAACTAAATAAATAAAGTCTTTTAAAAAAATCACACTAAAGAATTTAGTGGTTAATCAAAGCGTTTCCTCCAGGAGAATCAGAAGAGTGCGGGAAGGTATGATGGTGCTGCTCACTGGTGGGGCAGGCCTGCAGGAGAAGTTCAAGGTGATATTTATAGTCTGTGAAGGTGGTTCCTAGTCAAAGAGGCTGTGAATAGCCAAGACAACGATTTGAATGGGAAGATAACAAGTACAGTTACCTACCTCCACCCTCTGCCACCTGGTGGGGCTAAACTGCTTTCACAGAAATTATCACAGAAGCAATTGGGCTCTCTACATCCAGCATTTCACTTCTGACTTGGACCCGCGGTTCTCTTTGAGTTGCCCTTCTGTTTATTCCCAATCTGCATGTTGACTTTGGTGTGTCCCACATAATTCTACTGAAAACTCTATTGCCAACAAACCATTTCCTGATTTGTCCAAAGTTTTTTGAAGTCTATTTCTGTCTTTCACACAAGCACTCCCCAATGCTTTCAACTGCATTCTCTAGTCCATAATAATATGACTCAGTCCTAACATATTTCTATTAGCAAAGTGACTTCCATCTCTGCTTTCCTGCCTCATAATTAAAAGGCAACACATTTTCTTCTAGATTTCATTTGTTGCATTTATTTCCTTCTCTGTGACATATATATCATTCTCTTTGCTAATAAAGAAAAATCAAAATATTTTAATTTAAAGGTCTGCAATCAGAAAAGGATCTGTCATATCACATAAATTTTTCATGCCCAGATGTTTATTCATCTGTTTTCCTCAAAGACCCAATAAAATTGTCTAAGAGCCAGAGTCTATTTTAAATTAAAATGCATGGCTTTAAGGGCTATTTGACATACAGTAATTATTTGCCTAGTCTTCTAGCCAAGCATAAAAATTGCTAATGTCTCTGCCCTTGAAGGAAATGAACTGTGCAAAAAATTTCAGGCAAACACAATCCAACTGTTCACACAAAAGGGAAGTTGCATAAGAAATTCATTCTATCTCTACACAAATTTCCCCTTGACTTGCTCCAGATCAGCATGCACTCCACCTCTTCAGCTCCAATTAAAATCGCAAACAAATGAGCTTTTCAGCAGACCAGGGCCGATGTGCCCTTTCCACAGATGGTCAGCATCACATGCTGCGGTAATGGCTGGACACGCCACACGGGTGCCATATAAAAATCGTGGGACTCAGAGCACTTCAGCTCCCACTGCTTTATGTTTAGAGTTGCCTCTCTTTCAAGATGGATTTCCTTCATAGGAATGGAGTGCTCATTATTCAGCATTTGCAGAAGGACTACCGAGCTTACTACAATTTTCTAAGTTTTATGTCCAATGTTGGAGACCCTCGGAATATCTTTTCTATTTATTTTCCACTTTGGTTTCAACTTAATCAGACAGTTGGAACCAAGATGATATGGGTAGCAGTTGTTGGGGATTGGTTCAATCTTATTTTTAAATGGTAAGACTTCTGTTTTGTTTCATTTTTCCTAAAGCTTATTCTTAAATTCGTAGTTTGGGCTTAATGGTCGCATTGTAGATGTGTGTAGTTTTACTTGGAAAATCTTGCAAACATAACCAGTTAACTTGAAACAGATTCATAAATAGAAGTTACAAAAAACCATAGAAATGGTTGCTTACATACAAGTGTACATTTATATACAAATGTATACTAATTTATAAGTAAATTCCAAAACCCTGTAACACATATACTGTGATTAGCCAAGAAGTTAGTTAAATGAGCCACACCATACTGAACAGATTGATGATTCCAGGGGCCACTTTGACATTCCCAGTCTAAGCACCCAAAGCACCCATAGGACTTCCTCTGCCAGGAAAATATATCCCTGTTTTTTATTGAAAACAAGGATGCTGAAACCCAAATAACTATGTCATCCTCTATAATAAGAGATAGACTAGAACCCAAGTTCTTTCAGAGTTTCTTACTTATGAGTTTTCCCCCTCAACCCTCCAAATCATTTTTGCAAGAAAAAACAGCTAGTCTCCAATTAAGTAGTAGTTGTGTGTTTAAATATATATGCATATTTATATTTCTTCAAATACAGGATATTATTTGGTGACCGGCCTTACTGGTGGGTCCAAGAAACTCAGATCTACCCAAATCACTCAAGTCCATGCCTTGAACAGTTTCCCACAACATGTGAAACAGGCCCAGGTAAGCAATTGCAGTAACCTCCAATTACTAAAGTTATTCCAACAGAGAGCCACTGTGTATGATTATTATCTATAAATGTATGATACCGTATAGGGTTTTAAAGAAAATGTCATGAATGAGGATGCTAAAAGTTCATAAGCATAAAAATTGCTAATCAGAAAGGAGTTTTATGAGCAATCAGATTTCACTGTGTGATTTGTAAAAGGATAAGTTAAAGTACTCCTTACATAATTTTATATTTGGCATTTATATTTTTGAAGAATCAAATACAACAAACAAGAAAGTTAGTTAGCTAAAACAAACTGCCCAAGAACTATTTTAAAATCCTAGAAATGCTGATTTATCTACAGCTGAGCAACTTTCAAAGTTATTATAGGTCTTCTGAAAAATCTCATAAATGAGCAAAAAATAGACACGTTTCCTGTAAGAAAGGTAAGGAATTCTCAGTAGTACTTTTGCCAGTAAAGATATCTCTGATCTTAGAGTGATTTCTCTAAAAATTTTTTTCTCTCGTATATATAGTATGTAAGTAGACTTTTTGGGCCACTTCCTTTTTTATTGTAAGTAAGAATCTACATGACTATAAAATCTTTACCACGAAAGTTGACATTAAGACTATAAAAAGTTTTTTTGAAATATATATAAAGGAAATTACATATCATTGGTTTAATTTACAAGACTGTGTTATAACTCACCATAGTTCATTACATAGCAGAAAATTGAGATTTGACATCCATTAAAACTAACCCTGAATATAGTGTATGTGTAAGTGTATAGTGTATGTTCTGGCAGTTTACCATAATTAATTCTTTATATATCTGGCTTCTGTAGTAGACTGTGTTCCATCAGGTTGGGGATTGTGTGTATTTTATCTTTGTGAAATCAATGTAATATGGATGGACGAATGGATGGATGGATGGACAGATGGACAGGCGAATGAAAGGATAATTTTTTTAGACAATTGCAATGCTACTTTGTTTTATCACAGCACTTTTTCAGCATGCGTTGTATCAGAGTAAAGTGATTTTTTAAAAATCAAGCTTCATGGGAAAGACATTCTAGGAGTAGAAAGATTACCTGTCTGCAGGCTTCTTCTGCCAGTATTGATGCCCTCTCTACAGACTCTCTTCCACTACCTAACAAAAACTTCCATGTAGCAGCCATCGCAAGATAGGCATAGTGGTAGCAGTCAATTGGTAAATCACACATAGGAGTGATATCCTTTAGACGTTTGACCTTACAGCCCAAAGAAAATAAACTGGACTAAGATCCAATATGAATACTTTATTTTTATCATCAATTCAAAACAATTACATGTTAACAACGAGTAGAGATATGGCAGAGTTGGACACAATACCTTGGGTTCTTAATTAGCCTTGAACATTTTAATTTCTGGAATTTGATAAACTTGAAAAATCTGGAAAAATTTTTTGAAGTAGTGTTTTGAGGCTCAGTTTGGCTCAATTTTCTTTATTTTTACCTATGTCTAAACATTATATATAGCTTGTGACCTGTTTTATTTTTATAAGTTGTTTGTAATTTTCATGGCTAATATGCTATTATACTGTTCATTTCTGAAGTTGATGCTCTGTTAACTACCTTTCAAATGGATTGACAATTTTGCTTTTGCAGGAAGTCCTTCTGGTCATGCAATGGGTTCATCGTGTGTCTGGTATGTCATGGTGACGGCTGCCCTGAGCCACAGTGTCAGTCACATAGATAAGTCATCTGCCACTCTGCACAGGTCAGCTTTGCTCCAGTTTCTGTAGCGCTGGATTATAACAGTTTTGAATATATAAGGTGTTTTTTAAAAATTCATTTTAGTACACTTTTCAGTTGTTGAAATATGCTCATTCTATTCTATCACAACCAAAACAGCAAATGAATAGAAAATTGATATCTTGCTTTAAGATAATATCCTAATTAACTCAAAGCTATTTCCTCATTATAGAATTGGAAATGTTTGATTGGTTAATGATTTGCTAAATATGCCTTTGGGTTTCCATAATACAATAACTAACCACTTTAGTATCTCATAATTATACGTCATCTAAAATTATATAAGAAAATAATTTTGCATGCATATTCTCTTGCTTTAAGATTAACTAGAAACTTTGAAAATTATCATACCTCTTGAATGAATCCACTAATTCAGTATCAGTTTGCTTCTCTTTTTGACTAGCCAATGTTTTTGACATCAGTAACATATATTCTAGCTTTAAGGATGTTGCAAGCATTTTAATCAAAAACATTCTAGAGGCAAACTTAAATTTGAAAGTTAATACATTTCATATTAGTAGATTTTTAGTATTTAGAAAGGCCTAGAATTTTAATGTAAGATTACTTAAAATTTTTGTAGGAATTAAGCTGTTTCCTTCTCTTCTTTCCTGAAATAATTTATCATTAAAACAGCTCTGAACACCAACCACTTTAATCATAAATTATTAGGATACCTAGGATAAGATATGTCTGTTAATTTGTTTTTAAAAATATGACAGCATATGCCATTATATAAAAGTTCTTTTGAATAAAAAAGTTCCAAGATTCATCATATAATCCACTTTTTAGAATATAGGAAAGAATATATGGATATATATTTAGAATATATGGATAATATAGGAAAGAAATGACCAAAAGAATCTGGGCATATTTAAAATTTATTCTAATGAGACTTTGATTATATGCCTTAATGTAGTCATCATTCAAAACAACAACAGTGGAAAGTTGTAATTTTAAAAAATTAGCATTTTCTATTTATAGACTATTTCTCAGTGCAGGAATCTAGATAAACCTCACCTTGTTGTAGTTTATTTCTTCTTCCAATATCCAAATGTGGAAAAATATGTATTTCTTCTAAAAAATTTTCCTCTTTTTCAATTTTTATAACTGCAAAATTCCTTCATCCATCAAACTTTATTTAGTGCCTACTCCATACCTTAATAATACCAAATTCTTATTTCTTCTTCTTCCATATGGTTAACCCCTGCTTACTTCCTCTTTGGAAGTCTCATTTCTCTCTGTTCCTTAGTCTTTCAATAAGCAAAGTTTTGCCTGATTATCACGGACCCCCAAATTCTTAAAATTCAATATTGCTTATTCTCTTTTTAATTAAAATAGTGAGCATTGTTTGGATTTTAATATTTTTATAAGTTTTTGTGCCTTGTTTCTAATCCAAAATATATAACCTATAGGCCAATTCCCCTTTTCCATATTTTCTCTATCCCAACAACCAAGGAGTCAGAACTTCTTTGAGAGTCTGAAATTAAACCCAATGAAAACTTTACACCCTTGATAAAATGCTGACGTACTTGTCATCCAAGTGACAGCTGCCTCTCCAGTGAGCTTTCTTCTAGGATAGAGAGGTTGAGAGAGAGTAAGAGGAAGCACATGTAACAAGGAGTAAAAATATGTATAATTCACTCTTGATCACTCTGATATTAGTAATTCACCAAACTTGAATTCCCCCTACTCCATTAAAATAATTATTAGAATGTCAAATTTGCTTCCCTTTATAGTATTTATTAAGATATCAGGATATAGCACTTTTAATGCATTGGTAAATGAAGAAACCTTGGTTAAAGCTATTCAAATCCTATGGAGCACATGGGAACAACATTTTGAGAAAAGAAAAAAGAAAAAGACCCTAGAATCATGATGTTATGTGAGATGATTCCTCTGACAAAGGTCATCTGGTGTCGCCACCCCCCCCTCCAATTTTATGAGTGATACAATTTCTTTGCTTTTTACACTCGTATCTATTCTTCCATCGTAGACTGACCTGGTCATTTCTTTGGAGTCTTTTTTGGTTGATTCAAATCAGTGTCTGCATCTCCAGAGTATTCATAGCAACACATTTTCCTCATCAAGTTATTCTCGGAGTGATTGGTGGTAAATATGATCACTTACCTTGGGTTGTGTCATTTGAAAGCTGTAGAGTCATTTGTTTTATGTTCTCGGATTCTTCCTGGTAATCAGTTCTTCATTCTAGGTAATTCTGTTAAGCCACTGATATTTAATGCTACCCTGGGAGCTTAAATGGCTCAACACTTCTGAAATCCTCCCTGTGCACAACGGCACAGTCTGGCTTCACCATATAAACACTGACCTCTCAGTGAGGCTTCTCTGAAGTGTAACTAGAGCTGAGTCCAACTCCCAAACCACCTTTCAGGCAGACTGCTCCTGTCTTGATTTGGGGAAAATAATGGCCTTCAAACCTGCACAACATGCCACTCTCTGAAACACCTGAAGTGATTATTACATGACTGGGAACTTCACTTAGCAGCTGCTTTGTATTCCTGAAGTGGCATTCGCTATGATTGAGTTTCTGCCATTCAGCCCCAAATGCTTTTCAAAGGCTAAGTTAATTGCTATGGCAACTGGATTATTAATTGCAAGCACCTAGATCAGCACTCTGCCTATAAAGTGGGTTGACTCAGTTCCATGGGTTCCTGAAAGATCCCCCTGTCCAAATGTGGATGGTGGAAAGACCAGTGGACATGTGTGTGTGTGTGTTTAGTTCCTGTTTTAAGAAAGATTTGGAGAATAGATGCAGCCTAAGTGTCTAAAGCCCTTTATCATTGAAAACAATGGCTAAATTCTTTAGTGCAGAGAGGAGCGATTCCCTGGGGCTCCAGGGTACACAGTCACCTTCAGTGTCTCTTTCTAATCTCCAGGCATGCTCGTGGCAGAGGCCTTTGAACATACTCCTGGCATCCAAACGGCCAGCCTGAGCACATACTTGAAGACCAACCTCTTCCTCTTCCTGTTTGCACTTGGTTTTTACCTGCTTCTCAGACTGCTTGACATTGACCTGCTCTGGTCTGTGCCCATAGCCAAGAAGTGGTGTGCCAACCCCGACTGGATCCACATTGACACTACACCTTTTGCTGGACTTGTGAGAAACCTCGGGGTCCTCTTTGGACTGGGCTTTGCAATCAACTCAAAGATGTTCCTCAGGAGCTGCCGAGGGGAAAATGGCTATAAGCTGAGCTTCCGCCTACTCTGTGTCATGGCCTCGTTGACCACACTACAGCTCTACCATTTCATCAAGATCCCCACTCATGAAGAGCATTTATTTTATGTGCTGTCTTTCTGTAAAAGTGCATCCATCCCACTGACTGTGGTTGCTCTGATTCCCTACTGTATTCATATGCTAATGAAACCAAGTGAAAAGAAGATTAATTAGAATTGTGCAGAATTAGTGCTCTGTGGTGCCAGGACAACCCTCCACTCCCATCATCCTCCAGGAGAGCCACAGAGCAGGGAGAGACTGGGACATTCTAGTCCGAGGGCGCAAAATGGCAGCCACAGGCCCCATTCCACCCGCACATGTGTTTATTTTAGTCCTCACAGTGGTCTCTCTCTCTCTCTCTCAAGTTAGCTGTCAACATTTAAAAACAAAAATCTGAATTTCTACATTTTCTTGAAAAATCCGATGATATGGCAATTAGAGGGCCCTGCATTCCCACCTGGAGACAATCAACTGTTGCTCAGTGTCCCCAACAGGAGACAGACCACCCTTTTATCACAGTCTCCAGCATCCCAACAGGAACCCCAACATCAGATGCTTTTATTGTCTTCAGATGCTTCTGACTCTTGTGGGCATTTTAGTGGTGGCCAGATCTAACCGCCTCCCTTTTCAAATAAGGAAACTGCTCATTCACATAAAAGACCTGGCTGCTGTTACAGCACTGCCAGAACGGGGATTAGAACCAAGCCTTCTGACCTGTATTTCCATTAAGCTATGTTTTGTTTCTTCATTTTCAAGAGCTAATAATATGTAAGATTCTATGTAGAGTCTATGACAATTATTATGTAAATTGGCTATTTTTTGCAACATTGACATAAAAATGTCACATGCTGTTGGAGTGCATGCAGGGCCTCAAGAGGCCTGGTGATGGCTCTAGATATGGACATAGCCAGGGGAAAGGAAAGAGGCCAGGTTATCATGGACTTGATCCTCTGCACAGCTCCTGGCTTCTGTTTTACAGTAGTGATTTCTTTTTTTTTTAATTTATTTTTTATTGATTACGCTGTTACAGTTGTTCTATTCCCCCCCTTCATTCCCCTCCACCCTAGCCCCCATCCCCACCATCACCCCCCCTTTAGTTTATGACCATGTGTCTCAAGTTCTTTAGATTCTATATTTCCCATACTATTCTTGCCCCCCCCATCTATTTTCTATCTACTGTCTATGCTACTTATTTTCTGTACCTTCTCCCCCCCTTCTCCTCCTCCCACTCCCCTGTTGCTAACCCTCCTTGAGATCTTCATTTCTATGTTTCCACTCCTGATCTAGCTGTCCTTTTAGTTTGCTTTTGTTTTAGGTGTGGTTGTTAACAACTGTGAGTTTCCTGTCCTTTCACTGTTCATGTTTTTTAAACTTTTTTCTTAGATAAGTCCCTTTAACATTTCATATAAGGGCTTGGTGATGATGAACTCCTTGAATTTGATCTTATCTGAGAAGCACTTTATCTGTCCTTCCATTCTAAATGAAAGTTTTGCTGGATAGAGCAATCTTGGTTGTAGGTCTTTGGATTTCATGACTTGGAATACCTCTTTCCAGCCCCTTCTTGCCTGTAAGGTCTCTTTTGAGAAATCTGCTGACAGTCTGATGGGAATTCCTTTGTAGGTGACTGTCCCCTTAGCTCTTGCTGCTTCTAGGATTCTCTCCTTCATTTTAATCTTGGATAATGTAATTTTGATGTGCCTTGGTGTGTTTCTTCTTGGGTCCAACTTCTTTGGGACTCTCTGAGCTTCTTGGATTTCCTGGAAGTCTATTTCCTTTGCCAGATTGGGGAAATTCTCCTTTATTATTTGTTCAAATAAGTTTTCCACTGGTGGCTGTTCCTTTCCCCCTTCTGGTACCCCTATAATTCGGATGTTGGAGCATTTAAAGATGTCCTGGAGGTTCCTAAGACTCTCCTCATTTTTTTTGAATTCTTGCTTCTTCACTCTTTTCTGTTTGGCCATTATTTGCTTTCTTCTGGTCCACTCCATTGATTTGAGTCCCAGTTTTTTTTCATCGCTATTGGTTTCCTGTGCAATTCTATTCATTTCAATTAGTTTCGCCTTCATATGTTTCTCTAATTTGTGGCTATAATCAACCAGTTCTGTGAGGATCCTGATAACCAGTGTTTTAAACTGTGCATCTGATAGTTTTGCTATTTCTTCATCACTTAGATTTATAGGCTCTGGGGCTTTGAGATCTTTTTGAGCCATTTTTGGTCTGCTTGTGCTCGTTAAGTCTGAGGAGCGGAGCCTTGGACTCCCAGGTTGCTGGGTTGTGACTCTGTATGTGGAGGCGGGGTTAGAGCGGGGAAATGGCGGCGTCCTCCACTGCCCCTTGCTGCTGGGGCTGCTGGGGCTGCTGGCTCTCGTCCAATCGCCCACTCCCTCGCTTGTCTATCCACACACGAATGCGGGACCACAGTCAACCTGCAGCCCTGCTCCCTCCTGTTTCCCCTCGATTACTTGCTGAGTTGCCCACCAGGTCCAACCCTACACTTGGATTCCGTATGCCTGAGTCCATCTGACCGAGTTTTCCTGTGCTACCCGGCTCTGCCAGCTGCTGGGTTTCGCCCCTCTTACCAGTCAGGCTGAAGAATTTGTTGTTATCAGACTTCCAAAAAGTTCAATTTTCTGTGTTCTGGCTATGTTTTCTGTTGCTATTATTTCGTTGTCTCTAAACTTGGTTGTGTGAGGAAGCACAGCGTCTTCACCTATGCCTCCATCCTGGCAGCCCTAGTTTTTTCTACAGTAGTGATTTCTAATATTTCAATAAATGCTGCTGAAGATACTCTGCTTGGAATATTATTTAGCCCCCAAAACCTTATATCTTTACTATGACATCTTATACTTTATTTTTAGGAGCCAGTTTTTAAAAACTACAGAAATTGAGTGCATGACCTTCCTCAAGGTCATACTCCAACCAGAAAGACTATTAAATGCTCATATCTGTTAGCTGGGTTAATCTCTATGTGTACTAAACTGTGACTAAAAACTATAGGCTTACTTTAGAAAATTATTAATGGAATATTAGTATCATACTAAGAATTTCTTTGTAAGGTTTTTTTCTCATTTGTCCTAGTAATTCTGGACTTTAAGTTGATAACTCTGTTATTTCAATTAGGTACATTTTGAGTCAGATTTCGCTAGATATCCTAGTGACCTGTGATTTACCATAATGCTTCCTGTAATTCTTTTCAAGGATATTAATACATAATTTATTTTAGGTGATGATATTAAATAACTCATGTTAATGAAAATATAACAGTTCAAGTGAGTGCTATTTGACAAGGCATTAGATGAAGATAATGAAAACTCTAAAACTCAAAGTAATTATTGGTCCACTTCTAGGTATATTTATAGAATATATTCAATTGCTTCTACGAAACACACTTAACAGGTTTCTTTTTAAAAGGTAACTGAACTTGGTTTTAGTGATTGGCTGATTCCTAAGCAAAAAGCTGAGGTATGAAGAAATGTTATGTTTTTAAATGTTTTTCAGTTACACTTTACATTCATTATTACTTCGTATTAGTTTCAGGAGTACAGCATACTGGTTAGACAATCATACACTTTACCAAGTGTTCCCCCGATATTTCCAGTCCTCACCTGCCATATAGTTATTACAATATTATAGACTATAACTACTATGCTGTACTAAAGAAACAGTATCTTAAAAATGAAATTTGTCTCATGTTGATGAGACATTTGGGATGAAAGAGAGAAGAAGGATTCTTAACGTGTAACCATTGGTCATTGGTCCAAGCCTTCCAGTTGGAGTGAGCTCAGGTCCTCACTTCAATCCTTCCACACTTCGCGATGCATTTGCCTCACCACTCATTCTTCTGCATTTGTCAGAAATCTCATACCTGTCCAAGAGCTCTCTCTCAAAGTTTCAGTTGACTTTAATAATGGTAACACTGAAAAACCTTCTATCCCAGTACAGTCTCAGCCTGCTCCTACCGAGGCCTGAGGAAGCTGGGGCATTAAGAGCCCAGGAGTCCCTCTGTGCTGAGTGGCACCATCATAAATCCCCTCTCAGTTGTCTTCAGCCCCCTACTGTGGGTGCTGTCTGTCGGATAATACGTGATCCTCAGAAGGGGAATGTGATAAGGTGTGGGTTCATTTTCTATATTCACCCCCAGCAATGCTACTCCTATCTGCCATCCAGCCCTGGAGTCCCACGTGGTGAGGTTTCCCTTTTTACTCTAGTTGAAGTCTCCGGGAGGGGTCCGTGTGGTTGAAAGGGCTCCTGTACTTGAAACCGCATGGGCAGCGAGGGGAACAGCCCCTCACAGCCTCGGAGAAAACGTCTGCTTTTACTAACGATGGGACTCTTCAGCTGCCAATTTATTTGCCAAAAGTAAGTGGAGTTTAGCTCATTTGACTTGTTGTTACACATACATAGCAGTATATTTAAAATGTCTACATTTTGCTGAAGAAAAGTATTAACATTCTGGGCTTTCAGGATTAAAAAAATCTAGACAAGTGACTTGAGAAACTGCAATCAAACATATATTTGAAAAGAAATGCAAAAGAATGTATTATTGCCGAAACTAGCTATCAAGAAGAGTGACAAATCTCTTTCGACAAACCCAGTGAGTGGACATCTATTTTAGAAGGTTAAATTGATACCTTCTTTGAATCCAGTATATCAGATGGGTGATTAAAAATTATGATGAGATACTGCCCTGACTGGTATGGCTCAGTGGGTTGAGCATCATCCCACAAACTGGAAGGTTGCTGGTTCAACTCCCAATCCCAGCACATGCCTGGGTTGTGGACCACGTACCCATCTGGGGGTGTGTGAGAGGCAACCAGTTGATGTTTCTCTCTCACACTGATGTTTCTCTCCCTTGCTTCCACTCTCTCTAAAAATAAATAAATAAAATTTAAAAAATTATTGTAACATGCCCTTGAACCTGAAAGTTATATCTCTAATCATTTTATTTTTATTCAAAATCTGCAAATAAATTCAAGATCAAATTGATAGATACACATAAAAACCTTGGTATAGGAGAAGGTTTAAAAAAATACCAAAACATGGTTTTACAATGTGATTTGTTTCTTCAGTATATTAAAACTTTATATTCCAGCACTTTTTAATTGGACTTTTTACACTGATGGAAGTATTCTATATCCGTGCTGTTCAAAGTGGGAGTTGATGGCCACATGTGGTGACTGGGCTCTTGAAAGGCAGCAAATGCAACTGAGGAGTCACCTTCTAAAATTTTACACCGGTGATTTGTTGAGCTGTACGCTTGAAACCTGCATGGTTTTGTTAACCAAAGTCACCCCAATAAACTCAATGAAAAATAAAATCTCATTTACTTTTAATTAATTTAAATTTAAATAGCCATGTGTATTTAGTGCCTACTGAACTAGTGATAGCACAGATTTAGTCACACAGTGCTTTTCTCTGAAGGGAAAAACAAACATATTTAAAAACATATTGTCACCTAGACCGCATTCATGTGAGACAACATGGATGAGTATTATCTGCTGTATTTTTATATGAAGAAATCGATTTGTTGGCAGAACATGGACAAAATATCTTACTCCGGCCCAGGGATCTTTTGATTAGTTCACAGATGTTACTTTCCAGATGAAACAATGGTGATGATGGGTAAATTCCATTGTGATCGCTATACATTCACAAGAAAAATTTAACTCGTGTGGTAACTGACACTCAACATTTCTGGGGCTTGAAGGATTAAAGTGACTACAAGAAGTTAACAGTGAACTCAGCTGTGTTTTTAGGGAGACCCTCTATAGATTGTGGATCTGTCCTTGTGCAGTCCCCTTCTCTCTTCCTCTGTCCTGCGGGCTCTAGCAGCCTTGGTCTCCTGGCAGTCTTAGCTCTGTTGCCTCCAACCAGGAAGTCTGGGCACCCGTCCTTGCACCATGTCCTGGAAACTCTCACAGGGCCACAAAACTGGGTGAAGTTTAACCCAACAATGATGACCTCACTCTAGATGGCTGAATGACTTTCTAACAAAGTTGTTCTGCTTGTGGGGGTCTACCACACCTGCATCTTGGATGGGCACCAGTACTTCTGTGGCTACTGAGAAACTGTTCGAAAAAGAATTACTCGTGTCCAGCTTCACCTGAGGATTTTGCCCTCATTGACCGACTGTCCTAGTCACTCTGGAAATTTCCAGCAGCTTTCTGGAGAACACCTGGACCTCAGTGTGACCAAGACACTAACGAGATGTTTCTATTTCTTGCCCTGTCCCCTTACCTTCAATGCTTTCCAATGGTGATCTCACACTGAAGGTCATGTAGTGCTACTTGTTAATTTTTTTTAAAGAATGTATGTTGGTTTTTGTTTTAAAAATATTAACAGCAAGAAAGATCTATCAGAAGCAACAACTTCAGAAACTTCTGCCAAATGACAGCAACTTGTGGGAACATTCTAAGAATTAAGAAGTGCTTCATTCTAGCTCTGCAAAGGACGAACACAGTTTTTGTCAAATCTGAGGCTGGTTTGATGTGGTGCACTAATTACTGCCTTTGCTCGTTTGTGACGGAGATCACAGTAATGACTTAGAAGAACTCACATCTCATTTCTGTTGGCAGCACAGAAGCGCTTGTTCTCAAGAAGGAAAAAATTCAGTGATTGAGGTTATAAAGGTTAGAGTAAAGCCAGTTAATTATTTTCCACTTTGAATTTTTAAATTTCTTAGAATCTTTTCTTTTTTTCCTGACATTTTGCCATGTCATTTCTCAAAAGAATCTGTCTTTTGGTTCAAAAAACTGTGATAGTTCCCCCAAAGAGCAGTATCTTCTGAAGGAGCATCTAGGACCCGGGAAGGTAATGAGTGAAGGGTGGCAGTTGAAGTCCTGCCAAGTGGGCTTTGTGGTGCAGTTTGGGGGCTGCCTAGGGGAGAATTTGCTCTGGCAGCACCTTACCCATTTCCAGTGCTGGCCCAAGGGAGAGCAGAAACCGTTTCCCTGGGATGATCTGTGTACTCTGCAGGAGGAGCAGGCCATGGGCATGTCTGGGAAAGAAATCCAAAACTAAGTAAGAGCTTCTTTCTTACCCTTGCACATCGATTGGGCCAATCACACTTTAAGTTCTGCTCAAAGAATTGACTTTTTCCTGGACTCAACCTGTATATTATAAACAGTATTGGCCAGATTGTCATCCTTGCTCACATCCTGCCATTAACGGAAGGAGTTTTCTAAAAGTGGACATTGCATTCACTCATCACTGTCTTTCAGCACCCTGGCCCTCAAACATCACAATTCTGCATTAAAAGCATCCAACCATCGAAAGCTATTTTTCTGCAGAATCATTTCAAATTCTGCTTTTTAACAATTTTTTGAATGGAAGAAATTCCCTGCTAGAGTCCCTAGGGATAGTAGAGTCCCTGCTCTTTTTACATAAAGATTGCATTGACTTAACAAAGGAAAAGCAAATGTCTCTGCCTGAGTTTGTGAGATTTTTTTGTGCATGTTATTCTTTTAGCATTGGGATGTTGACCTGCTCATGCTGACCAATTGAGGTGGTACCACTGGTCCCTAAATGGATCTCACAGGGTGTCAGAACACAAGGGTGCAGGCGCAAGCAAATTCAAAGACAGATAGATGTACCAAAGACTTCATGAAATTTCACAGCAAGCATTCTGGACTGGAGTCATCAGACCTGGGTTCTCGTCTCTCTCTGCATCTAAGCACTGGGGTGCTGGGAGGCCATTTAACATTGGTGGGTTCGGTTGACCAATTTCTCAAGTCAGGGGCTTAGAACGGAAGACTTATTCTAGCTCTGACATTCTACAACTCTAAGGATCTCATTTAATAAGATTGGAAGAAAAGTCAGAGCATATTAAATTTTACTTACATGCAATAAATAAGGCTATCAATTCTAAACAATACCCCATTTTGTAATTTTCTTTTTAATGAACAATTTTAGATTTATATAATACATTTCAGTCTTTAAAATATTCTATTCCTATACGAGTCTGAATTTTATAGCTATAGAAAGGGATGCATGGAGGCATCTTACAAAAGAGATCTCATAATTAAATTGCCAGCTCCACTTCCCCTTTCTTAACATCCAAAAGAGGAAAGTCTTCTTGCTGGGAGAGATACTAAGGTGCTATGTATAATGACTTGCTGAGTGATAAGAAGAGAAGGAAAAGTTTGCTCTATGGGAGGAAAGTGACTAGAAATTTAAAATATCATTTTTGTAAGTTTGTTATGAACTAATTATGGATCTCTCAAAGACATAGGACCAATTATGGATCTCTCAAAGACATAAAGATAAAATTTACTTTTAATTCTTCATGGATGTTATGTGCTTCTTGAATGCGGCATAACTCTAACACCATATTATATGTTGCCAAGATTTTTGAAGATAACTGTGCTAAATGAAAATTAGAGATCCAGTTCCAAATAACATTTAAGATCTTCTCAGGCTCAAAAGAGCCCCTTTTGCCCATATTTTTCTTTTCTCTCTAATCCCCCTATCTACCCACTGGACAAACACTTATTAAAATCATTTAAGTGTTAGATATGCAAGGGGTGACTTCAATATAGGCCTTTGTTTCCCTTGGGGAGGTCCCCAGAGGTTCCAGACGTACCTGCTGCCACTGTGGCTGCACACCAGGCTGCCTCTGGCCTGTGGGCTTGGAAGGATTGAACTGAGGCTATCCCCAGTACAGGTTAGCTGGTAACATTATTCCCCATTGCTTTGAACCTGCCCTTTTTCAAGTTTATTCTCTTCTTGAATCACTTTCCCCTCAACTCTGGCTATATCCTTGCCAATGGAGTTGGGATCATTCCTTGTCTAACATCAATTTTATCAAATGACAGGATGAGAAAGCACAATCACAAAACACCAAGTCCCTATGTAAAAGCCTCCCTCACTTAAGGCATAGCAAAGCAGGGTATGTGACATGTTGCTGGGAAACCACTAGAATGAGTTGTGAAGACTTCCATCCAGTTATTCTTTTCATAGCAGTGACATTTAAAAAATTAATATTTCATCTTTTAATCAATATTTTTGGAAAATCTCTAGTGTAAAGTCATATTTTAAGGTCATTTAAGCACACATCAATACTTCAACATTATATTATTTTCTTTATACTTACATTTTAGTATTTTCCTTAATAAAAATCTAACTATCAATTAAGATTGTGTTAATCTAAAATTAACAAAAACAGCTATAAGAAAATGACTTCAGGACTTAAACAAGTGAGAGGTGTCTTTTTCTGGAGGTAGGCAGCCCAGACTGGAGCAGCTTCTCAAGAATGTCTAGGAATCAAACTCAATTTGTCTTCCTGCTCTGCCATTCATGGTCATACCTAAATGGCCACAGAATGGCTGCTATGCATTCAAAAAAGAAGAAAGGATAACCACCTTTCTTTGATCCAGACTTTATTGCAGAAGGGACAGTCTCCATAGACACTTGTGCTTATATTTCATAGGCCAAAATAGTGTCACATGGCCTCCTCTAGCTGCAAGGGAGTCTGGGAAGGGAACCACTTTACTTTCTAGCCTCTGTAATAGAGGCAAGCAAGGAAAAGGGGTGTAGAATTAAGTGTCAAATGAGCTAATCTATAATGCCTGCCAAAGTGACTTATATATTAATACATATCACAACAAATGCAACTTATAGCTGCATTCCTCCCTTGCAGCCTACTAGAATGGTTTCACAGTAACATACAAAGAATATAAAGGCAAAATGCTTACTAAATTATAAAATACTTTGTAAATGTTATCTTGAGGTATATTTAAATGATTAAATTTTCAACTTTGAAGAAATCTTATGAAAACATTGCTCACTTTCAACTTCGATTCTATACTTCATATATCAAATATACATATTCTCAACCAATATGTAGCATTATTTTCTCTTTTTTCAGTAATCATTCTTAATACTTGTAGGCACTATTCTGGGTCACCTTGGGTGAACATTTCCCTTTTTATCTCCAGCTCTTTTGTTCTCACATTTATCTATTTATATCTGAGAGTAGAAGCTGTACCTGAATTATAAACAGGAGGGAATTGCCAATTCACCAGCTGGCTATGTATTCTTCTTCCTTAATCTACTGCACATTTTGTCCTAGTGCTGATTTATCTCATTGAGTAGTTGTATCCAGACAGCTATATGCCAATCATGTGTACCCTAATTACTCATTATGAACCTTAGGATACCATACAACTCACTAATGAGCACATTATAATGCTGGCCAGTGCCAATTAGATAATGATCATGTGCACTGCTTTATTTACAGTCCGCTCATTTAAATTAATTGGGCCTTTAATTGAACACAGTGTGAAAAAAATTGGAATTCAGTTTCTAAGTTAAGTTACTTTCTTCTCCCATCTCTTATGGGCAGGTGAGATTATTGATTATTCACTTGATCTGAAAGTTTAAAGCAAATGCAAATAGACATAATTATTTTATAATGGCACATACACATACGTAAATTTATCTAAAAATGTGTTTGAAAACAGCAATAAAATTTGCAAATTTTTAATCTCCACTAACGTCCTTCTGTGACCTGCTCACGGACAGAGTCTGAATGCATGTGATATTAATAAATCCAACCCCTCATTGGAAATACAAGATGTGATCTTAAAACAACCTGATGAGAATGTTTTGACATTTTGTTAGAATAGAAAATTTACATTTAATTCATGAATAAATATATGACATATCATACTTAATTATGATCCTATGTATTTTTCTCTTTCAGAACATGGTATCAACATATTTCAGAATCTATATTTTTTAGTGAATGCTTAATTGCCAAAAATTGCATGTATGAATGTACCATTAAGTTCACAGTATCTTTTCATTGAAATAATTTCCTAAAAGCACATGTTGAATAGACATACAGTAACTATACTAAAAAAAAAAAAAGAGTTTCTAGACAAAAGACCATAGAGGCCAACTCTTACTTTTTTCTCAAATAGTAACATTTCTGGTTTATAGACATCTGCTTCCATGTAATTTTGACAAGCACCAAATGACTGAGGGTCTCTTCCTAAAATAAGTTGAAAGATCTGTTGTTCCAACTATTCATAAAAATTCTTCATAGGAAAAAATTATAAACAACTCTAATAAATTAATTGCAACTAAACTTATTTTGCAAAGAAGACCTCAGAGAAATTAGATAACATGGAGGTTTTTAAAGTTACACTGTGTTACACTGAAGCTAAGCAACTTACTTCTCTGCCTTTGCCAACTCAAACAGGTAAATCAAATAAAATTGATGTAAAGACTTTTAATCCCTCTGAGAAGAACTAATATTTTATTTGTAATTTCTGAAATCATGATGTCTAATTCTAACAACCTCTCTCTTTAATCCTAATGGGCACCATGATCTTTGTCTAAACAAGTTTTCCATGGTTTCTCAGTACAATATAAGAACACGCTTCAAAGGAGAAGCTGGGCTCATGTTTTTATAAGACTCGAATCGTAAAGGAAAAACTCAGGCTCAGAGCCTAGATTCTCTAACTCTGTCTGATAGAGTAGCTTCTAGTCACATATTTCAACTGGGAACTTGACATGTGGCTAGTCTGAACTGAGATACGCAGTAAGTGTAAATACATTTTGGTGTTTGAATATTTAATATGATACAATATTAGTAGTTTTTATACTAATTACAAGTGATAGAGTATTTTGAATGTATTGAGTTAAATAAAATATATTAAACTGATAAGAACAGATACTACACATAATTTTAGCCAAAAGGCCGAGAAGCAATTAAATAAAATATATTATTAACATGAATATCATCTTTTTGTTTTCCTTTCTTTAACATAAGTAGAAAATTTTAAATTACATATGTAGCTCTCATTAGTGGCTCATACTATCTTTACTATCTTTTGATTGGAAGGCACTGCTCTATCTTAACAGGCAGGATGAACATTTTCCACTTTTACCATCCTGGGACTGAAAAATTATGGACTCAAAAATGGAAAAAAAAAAAAAAAAAGCTCCTTTGCGCCTGAGGAGCTCAAAGTCTCATTACTCCAGGACCTCTCACTAATTCCCATGTGGTAATGGGGACTGGCTCCTGCTCAGGGAAAGCACTGGGTGATGCCTGGGAAGCTGCAGGACACTGGCTTTTCACACACACTGGACCTAGTTTCCTTTGTTTTCTACATACAGACACTTAAAACTCAATTATTGCTGAGGTCACTAGAAATTAGTTTGGATCCCAATGAATGGCAATGTGTGTAAAAGTAAAATAGTCATCATTTCTTCTGAAAGGAAAAAAATAACCCATGGCACTCTGTGAGTGGTGCACCATCTGTGAGTGAAGTTCTTGAGTCAAGTCAACTGATGGGGGCTCCTGTGGTGACTAGCTTGTAGTAGGCTCCTTTCTGGGCCATCAGTTCTTTATGGGTCCCCTTTTCAACCACTGTCCCCTGTGACACGACAGCAATGATATTTGAGTTCTGGATGGTGGACAAACGGTGGGCAATGACAATGCAGGTCCGGCCTTCTCTGGCTTTGTCCAGGGCAACCTGCACCGTCTGCAAAGAAAAGATGCAAAGATAATGCAAAGATGCCTGCTTGTTCCCTGGCCCACCACTGCAAGAATTCTGTTTAAGACCACCTGAGTAACACTGCTTTTGTCAGGAGTTCAACTCAAAGACTCGACATGAAAGAAATAAGTATTTGCTGAGTACAATGCATCAATGGTTTGAATTGCAGTTCATAGGCTGAGAAATTTCAGTGAAGCAAGAGACAACCAAATTATGAGGTCATTATGTAATTTTAAAAGACCTGATGGTCTAGCTTGCTAAAATGAAACCAAAGAAACAAGGTTAAGATAGGAGTCATTGATCATTCCTGATTTTTCATTGAGGGCATTTTAGCTGTCTCCAAAATGAAATCCTGGTTTTGAAGGAGTTAATAAATAGCAAATTCCATAATTGTGTTTTGCCCAATTGCATTTCCTGCCACGCAAACTTCACATGCTACCGCCTCTCACTTTGAGTTGTATGCTGCCCACCTGCTATGCCAACTGCAAAAATTGAAATGCACGACACATAACCTGGATTATTTTACTTCACTTAAGGAAGCTAATTATTCTCCTTGAGAAAATATCACCAGGCCTAGAAAATCATTTTAAAAATTTATATTAAGGTTAAAATATTTTTTTTTACTTGAAGCAATCCTATTTTTAATTACTTTCTCTAGACTACAGTCCTTGGCTCCACAAAGTATTGGCAATTTCTACTGTTAATGAATCAGAAAATTGTAAGTAGTGCTATTTTAGAAAGACAAATATTACAGGAAAAGATTCATCTATAATGCTCTAAGACTTTAGAAAATCAATACGTACCTTCTCACTTTCTGTGTCTAAGGCAGAAGTAGCTTCATCGAGCAGTAAGATTTTAGGATCTCGCACGATGGCCCGAGCAATAGCAATGCGCTGTTTCTCTCCACGAGAGAGTTGAGACCCCTGGGACCCAACATTAGTTTCATATTTCTGGAAAAAGTATGTTTGAAAACTAGTAGTAGCCATTGCTTTTATGCTGTGTGGAGCCCACATCAATGACCCACGTGGGAATTTAAATAATTTGTTGTTTTTTCAAACAGGGACTAGTGCTTGAGTTCTTCTATGTAGGATGTTAAATCTATTTAGAAATCTAAGACAAACATGGAGTTAATGACCTTTTTGTGGGGGATACAAGAAGAGTTTTATCGCCTCCTCTGCGTTTTTTTTAGCTTTGTATTTTTTTATTTCTTTCCCCCTGTGCGTGAGATTCCTCCCTGCTTCAAGATTCCCTGATTTCCAAACTCCTCTGTGGAAGATCTTTCTAAGACAGAATAATCCAAGCAGTGGAAGGGCCTTTTGAGAGATCCGCTTGTCCAGTTCCCTGCTGAGGAGGCATCAGTCTATGGCAGAAGCCTCAGTGTGAATCTCCTTTCTGCTTCTTACTAGCTCTGTGATCATGAAAAATTTATTTAAATTTCTTTGAGGTACAAACTAGTCTGAAAAATGCAGCTATTAATAACTAGTTCACATATTTGTCATGAGTTTTAGATGAAATTATGAGGGAAAATTTCTTGCTAGAGACTGGGCATGACTATATTAACATTCATGGAATATTTACTATGTATAAGGTATTGTGCTAACTATTCTAGCCAGATTATGATTTAATAGTTGCAAAGATCATTTTCTCCCTATTTCATAGATTACAAAACTGAGGCATACACAGGAAAGAAAGGTGTGTAAAGAACAAATAAAAAAGCAGTGATGGGAGAAATAGATAAAAAATGTACTTAAAAAGTACCTAAATAAAATTTAATTTAAAAAAAAACAAAAAAAATAAAAAAATTAAAAAGCAGTGACAGCAAAATCTAAACCCAGATGTGTCTAGCTTCTGAGCCCTTGTCCTTGAACTCTACCTGCCTTCCACAAACAAGGTCTGCCTCTGCCTTCCCTGCCTCCTGACAGATGCACGACCAAGCCAAGTGAGCCTCGTAATGACCAACTTTGTCCTTCCTTAACCACTGAGAAGTGCTCAGTGAAAGGTATTATAGGTAAGTCTGTACCAGAAAGAGGCAATCAATTAGTTCCAAGCCAGTGTCTCTCACAAAATGAGTAGGTGCTCAACAAAGATTTGTGGAATAAATGAGTCTTCCAGTAGACACACAAGCTTTGCTTTTCATTTAGAATACAGCAAATAGTAATTTCCACATTAAGCTACTCAAGTTAGAATGAGGCAAGAGCCCAAGACTTAGAAGCCTTTGTGAAAAGAACAAAGAAAAAATCCCAGCACAAACACCACAAAATTTATAAACATAACCACTTATAAAGAAAACCAATTTCCCAGTGGCCTTTCTTTAAGAGAAAGAAGTGGCCCTGGCTGGCTTAGCTCAGTGGATTGAGCACGGGCCTGTGAAGCAAAGGGTTGCCAGTTCGATTCCCAGTCAGGGCACATACCTGGGTTGCAGGCCAGGTCCCCTGTAGGGGGGCCACATAAGAGGCAACCACACACTGATGTTTCTCTCTCTCTCTTTCTCCCTCCCTTCCCCTCTCTAAAAAAATAAATAAATAAATAGAATCTTTAAAAAAAAGAGAGAGGAAGAAGTGGAAAAAATTAAATGTAACATTTGGTTCTTAAAGTTGTTTCCATGTCTTCATTTTCTTTGTGATCAGTCATTAAGGGATACCCTTGGTAGATAGAAACATTTAAAGTTGATATTGTGCTCATTTGAACTTGGCTATGGAAAAGTGTGATACACTCAGGCAGATGCAGCCTACCCCACCAGCTGCAGTTTATGCTGCCAAGTAATGAATTATGATTATGGTGATGACAATAATAACAGCGGTAGCTTTCATTGTGTGGCTATTATGTATATTCTTTCATTTTAATGTTATTTTTGGCATTTTGCAGATGACTGAGTCTCAGGAAAGATAGGTGATTGTCCCAAAGTTACACAGCTAATAAGTGGCAGAGCTTGGATTCAAACTGATGCCTGCTTTAAGTCTTAGGACTTTTTTTTTTTTTTTTTGCTATGCTAAGCTGATGCTTAATGTGCTACTGCTTTATGTACATCAAGCTCTATAGCATCCTTTGCACATGATAATATACTACTTTCCAAATCTAAAGGGTATGTTGATAAAGAACATGTATTTTGCTTAAAGACTGAGATGAACCTCAGGCACACTGGGAAATAAATTGTGCTTTTTTGACCTTCTCCTACAGCCTAAATCATAATAGTCTTTAGTTATTCTACCCCTCTCCATCAGTGTCTCCCCCACGGGAATAACCCCAACTTGGTACTTACCTCTGGGAGAGACATGACAAAGTCATGCAGCTGAGCCTGCTTTGCGGCTTCTATGACTTTTTCCACGGGAATTTCTTTGGTGTTGTCTCCATACTTGATATTGTCCATTATGCTGCAAGCAAACAGCACTGGTTCCTGGGAAACTATTCCAATGTTCGAGCGGAGGAACTGGACGTTGACCTTTTTGCTGTCATGCCCATCTATCATCTGCCATCAGAAGTGACAACCAGGCAATTATGTGTTAGAATTCTTGTGTGAGGAAAGTTCCTATTTCAGAGTCAGTGTTATGTTGGATGTTTGCTTTGCCTAAGAGGCAACAATCCTAGGACTCTTGGAAATAAATTATGTTGCCTTCGACCACTGCAGGTGGTCTGTCAGAATGATTTAAAGTTATATCAGACTATGGTTTTATTTATTTGTTTCCCAAACTGTCACTCCATGGATGGTACAAATGAGGAAGGTACTCAGGACAGTGTTTAGATTTTTTTTTTAATTCCCTTTATATTTTGGTGCAAGACATTCTCTACAAGTTTGCAGAACCCTCAACTTTGAGACTCCCTGGGCTATAAAATTGGACAACATAAGAATCAAACCTGTTTCAATGATCTTACTGGCACTAGCATCTGTATAACTGAGATAGTAGGCCCTAGAAAGAAAGGAGTATATTTATTCACTTACTCAATCAACAAACATATATGGAATTCCCTGTCACAAAGGCACCATGCTAGGCAGTCTTTTGTTTGCTCTAAGAAGAAAACATAATCTCTTTTTTCTAGGAACTTACCCCCTTAGGCAGTTGAGTTTAGGAACTCAAATACCTGCTGTTTGAGCTGGTTCACTTAAAAGCCTAGTTAAGATACAGTGTGTCTAACATACTACTGTAAAATACTTGGCCCTATGATTTCAGAAAAAGACGACATTAAATGGTGTTGAACATATTAGATTGTAGATAATGTTTCAGCAGTGGGAAAAGCAAACACTATCAAAAAACATAAGGCATTCCTCAACAATTAGCCTTCTCTCATTTTTCGTAGTACTTATATTAATTGTGCAAAGCACAATTTAATACTCAATTAAATATTAGAGCTGTTTGCTAATTGTTGTATATGTGTTAGTATTGTAAGCTCCTAGCAGACAGAGACATGCCTTATACTCCTTAGAATCGCCCACAGGGACTAATGCAGTACTGCACACCCCAAGCATCCAATTGTGTGGAAAGGTTGAATACCTGCATTAAGAGTATAGAGTATGGCCCTGGCTGGTGTAGCTCAGTGGATTGAGCACGGGCCTGTGAACCAAAAGATCGTGGTTCGATTCCCAGTCAAGGTACATGCCTGGGTTGCAGGCCAGTTCCCAGCAGGGGGCAACAATACATTGATATTTCTCTCCTTCTCTCCTTCCCTTTCCCTCTAAAGATAAATAAATAAAATCTTTGAAAAAATCATTTGATTTAAAATAAATAATTTTTTTAAAAAGAGTATAGAGTATGTTTCAAGATTGCATAAAATGCGGTGTTTCATCTACTTAAAAACATTTGCAGAAATTTTTTTACAATGATAACAAAGTGTAATGTGTCCACAGAGTCATACTGATTTCTCCATGGGCATTGCTTTCCACCTGTGACCAAAGCATTCCCTGGGCACATTTAGAGAAATATACTTAATGTACATATTCTTCTCAGCATTTCTCTTCAAATGTTGTATTTTCTTATTACAAGGAGAATTAATTTATTCAGGGAAATTTTTAAATGCATTTTTCAAAATATTAAATGAAACAGTCAAGAGTGGAGCAGAATAAAGAATCTTCAGACCCATTCCACTAAATCAAATCTTAGAAAATGACTGTGGATACACTCCAACAAAATGAGAATGAGAAGCAAGAAAGAGAAAGCTGTGGGGACGATGGAAATAATGAATCTAATCTAAGAAAACATTGCAGGAAACCCACAGGGTGACCGTTACTCAACAGGTACAGGTTGTAATTAGTCCAGGCCATGCAGAAATGAGGGAAAGAAGCAGGCCCTTCAAAATAGGTAGTAGGATGGAAAGATTGGAAAACACAGAGATTTCATAAAGGGAGGGAATGCAAGAAGAAAGAAAGCCTTTCTGAAAAACAAAAAAGTGTAATGTTGATGAACCTCACTACTTGGCTATGAGATGAACATTATTTATTTACGTAATCATAACACAAGTTGTTAATTGATCTTCAACTTTTAGAATCAGCCTAGAGTGAAAGCATGAAGGATAATAAATGTTATTAGCAGATGAAAATAATAAATATTTTCATCTTAGGGAGAATTCCAGAGATGTTATCTATATACAGGTGGTGGGAAAGAAACAGAAACGTATTAGTTAAATTTACAAATAGAGGGACTTCGATACATTTCTTTTGGGAGGAAGTGGGGAAAAGGAGGAAGAGCAGTGAGTGTAAGCTAAATTTCCATCTCCTGAAAATAAATCAACAGAATCAAAATCTGTTAAATTATGAAATGGCAGCATAAGCACATTATTTAGATACACTGGGAGATCTAAAAACATCAGCGGTGAAAAAGAGTTGCCGTTGAGCAAAGTAGTGGGGAAGTAGGAGAAAGGGTGGAATAAAAACTTGCTTTCCATTACCAATCTTTCTTACTTTATTTACTCTGTACTCCTCTGCAGACATTATTTGGAAAGAAAAAAAGGAGAAAAAATAGAAATAAATGCTGTAAAAATAGCAACCAAGTAATCCACACATTTTTCAAACATTCTCATCAAAACTTTATGGAGCATGACTACCTTTTGTGTTCCTTATACTATTTAGATTTAAGCTTCTTGAACCAAGATTGTCTCTGATTTTTTTTCATACTAAATCCCCTTTTTTACTCATTTATCATTGTGTCCCTCCCTTATCACCCCCACTTTTTCCGTTCCCAGTCATTAGTCTCCTGATTAGTCTGCACTTTCTGCTCCATTTACGGTTAAGTGAATGCTTCTGTTAAATACACTCATCTCCAGCTTTGCAGTGTGCCCAGTTTTCTTTGTCTAACTAATCAGCAGGCCATCTGGAACTGGGAAAAATATGATATTAGAAATTGCAAGGTAGAATCAGGTCAACCTGCAAATGATTGGTACTAGAAATTATCCATGGGGGTGAGTATATAAGGCAAGCGCTTTAGAGTGAGTTTGGCAAAGCACAATTTTGAAGACCACATTCAGGCATAGGAGATATTCTGCAGAAAGCAAGGTTCTCAAGCATTTGCATTGCTTACCACCTTCCCTTGGTCAGGATCATAGAAACGTTCCAGCAGCTGAATACTGGTGCTTTTGCCACATCCACTGCTTCCAACAAATGCCAGTGTTTGCCCTGGACTAACCGACACTGAGAGACCATTCAGAACTTGCACATTAGGTCGAGAAGGATATGTAAATTTACAGTCAACAAAGTCAACCTGCCCCTGGAAATTGTCCTGTGGGTGGGAAGATTAGAATTATATGTACTCTTATAAGAATCTAGAATATTGAAAATGCACATAAATCTGAGTTTTTAATCCCTTCTTCAGATACCTTAAACACCATGCTGCCAAAGTGCAAAGTATAAAGACAGCAACTTAATGAAATTCTATTCCCCATTCTCTAGCAGGTGTAATAAATAAAGGGAGCCTCAATGAATGAAATTAAAGATATTTGAGCTCTTATACCTATTCTAACCTAAGGCAATTTCCTTGTCATCCATTACTTGGCATTCTGGGAGAATGTCAAATGGAAGAGAATAACTAGAATACATGATTGCAACACAGAAGCCAGGAATTGTCCAAACCCCTATAGCTCTCTCCCTCCAAAGAGTTAAAATAATAGCAGTATACTTGAAATGACTTGGAAAGTTACGTAACTTCTGTACTGCAGAGGTGAATACCTTTAGTTGTACTATCTGAATTATGAATTCTAGAAATAGACATACATTTAATAGACCAAACAAAGACTTTACTTTTATTGAACTAAAGAAGAAATAGGTCATTTGAGCAATTTAAAAAGATTTCTGAATTTAGGTTAGCTTTGCTAGGGTTTAGATTTGTTTTACTCACCTGAACATGTTTAGATATTAAGAAATAGGCAGGAAATTTTTAAAAAATACCTATGGAGACTATCAATTAGAAGAAATGGTATTTAGTTAAGATCAAACTAATTTTCTGGTAGTCCATAAGAATGAGCTAAAACTTGAACCCAGATAAACATGAATTACATCAATATTGTTGGACAAGAACTGGTTTTTCTACATTCCATACCAGAACATGGGTAGAAAACATGGTGGCTGGGTAGCTTCATTATTCTGCAACTAAGTGTGTTTTATACTATAATTTTTATGACTATGAATTTAATTTATACTATACTAATATAAATATAATTTATATAAATACTGCTTTATAATTTTTATGCTAATTTACTTCATTTTTTTACATCTGTAAATCTGTCTGTCCATTCTAAGTACATGTGAATGAACCTATAACACTGTAAGAATTTAGAAGCTAAGTGGCAATGTTGTATGATCAGCCACAATGGCTGTTCTACACACACACACACACACACACACACACACACAGCAGCACACCCAACCGCACTGGCCCCATACCCCCACCTCCGGACTTACCCATTTTTCACCTGCAGCACTGTATACACTGATAGGAGGTCGTCGGTCCAGCAGCTGAAAAAACCGTGCAGCTGATATTTTAGCTTTGGCATAACTCGGCGTATAAGAGTAGGCTCTTCCAAGAGCTGTTGCACTCAGTACAACTGAAGAGATTACCCTGCAATTGGACAGACACCCATGTAGAGAGAGGGCTGTGGTGTGGTGACCTAAGAAACAGGAGTTTGGGGATCTAGCTCTTGGTCTGCGAGCAAAGACTTGAGCAGCCATGGGCAGGTAACTTCAGACTTGTCTGGGAAGGTAGAGTTGGAGACATTAGCAGTTTTCAAACTGTGTCCTATGAAAAAAGGGCAAGGGGAGGATTAAACAAGGGAGGCTCAGACTTCAAAACCCTGCTTCAACTACAAGTCTTTTTCTAAGAAATGTGTTTGAGAAAAGACTTCTTTAAAAAAAAAAAAAAGAGGGGCATGAAAAAAATCACTACACTGGGTTGACATTTGTACAATGCTAACATTTTTTTGAATCTATCATAAATGCATAAAAGACAATAATTGGTGATAAAAGCAGCAACCTGTAACAAGCATGAACGTAATTCATGCTTCTTCAGACAGCATAAGAAAGATGTAATTGCCTGTATTTTTCTGCATGGCCCAGCCTCTAACTATACTCAATATGTGCCTAATTAATGAACAAATGAATAAATGAAAGATAAACATGGTGAGACACAGCTCTGCTGCTATACACACTGTGTTGTAAGGGGTGCCTTGAGGAGCTCCCCACCTGCACTGCCAAGCACAGAGGACCCGCCCTGATAGTGGTAGCAGGCAGTGTCCTTGTGTGTTTTATTGCTCAGTTTGTAGACAGGAATTGTTTTAGGCCAGACTTGCAAATCCAAACATCTCCGGGAGCCCAGGCCAAAGCTTAATAAAGCAATGAAAAATATCAAATAAAGTGGGGAAATGATGGAAGGTGATCTTTCCGTTTTTAGAGAAGCCAGAAATGAGGAGCTTTCTGTAATCTCCAAAATCTCTTTTACCTGTTGACAAATAATTCTTCAGAAATCTTACATAAACTAAAAAGCAACAGTTTGTGATTTCAGATTTAAGTTAATAGTGCTAAATGTGTAAACAGAAGAGACCTCCCTGGTTGGGGTCAGTATAATGGGGCAGGAGATGCTTCTATATTGCATCTCAAAGGCAAGAAGACAGAACTCATGACTTGAGAAATAACCCAAAAGGACAGATTTCTGTTGGGACCACTTTCCCTAATGCCCTCCAAGGCTTCCTCAGAACATTTCCTCTTGCCCCTGTAAGCCTCCCTCTAATGCCCCCTACCACTACCCCACACCCATATACATACATACATACATATCCCTGGGGACCCTGACACACTTAGCTCTCTCTCACCTCTGGAAATGTGAGAAACTGGACTCAAAGCTAAGCTTATCAGAAGAGCGGGCTCCAGCTTTAAGAAAGAAACATGATTCCCCTGAGCTGCCCTTTTCTGTCTCCACCTGAAAGGAGCGAGCTGGAAACATGCCCTTTTTATAAGAAGTAGTGTTCAAATAGGTAGTTTTCTGAACCATCCTGTTTGGGGTCCCTAGATTGTCTTAGCATTACCCAGTACGATAGATTATGAAAATGCTTAATTTATCCAATTATTCCTCATGCACCCCTTTGCATTATGACTTTTTACTCCTCTGTGATACTGTGACTTATAGTAAGAAACACATTTTGCTTGCTCAGCTCTTGATGCAGAGCACCTACACCCTTGGAATTTCCTATAACCCCAGAGCAATCAAGGTGTCTTTTGCTATGTTAATGAAGTACCTTTCAGAGAGCCCCTAAGTAACCTAAGGATGGGGGCTAGATGTCTGGGAAAGCAACCTTTTGATTAAGGTGTGAAACTTGCTATCTCTTCCCCCACATATTTCACTTCCAGGGAAGGGTCCAGGAGCTGAGGGATCTGAGGGTGGTGGGGTTGGCAGTCTTGTAGGACTGTGTCTTTAACCTGGGGCCTCTGAGCTATCGCCAGGCTCATGGTGCCAGAATGAAGTCGAACTGAAGGACATCCATCAGGTATCGGAAGTGTTGTGAGTGATAGCAGTGTGAGAATAAAAGAGAAATATCAGATCCTCTCATCAAAAGGTGGATGCTACCTCTCTATTCCTTAAGTCTTGGCTTGGTTGTACGACTTTCTTTGCCCAGAGAGATGTCAGAAAATGCGATGCCTGCAGAGATGTGCTTGCACCGTGGGGCTTGCTCTTTCGTTGCACTTGGAACTCTGAGACCATAATGTGAACAGAACAAGCTCACTTACCAGAGCAGCCCCGTGGAGACAGAAGCCCTCTCAGAAGCCTGACTGACTTGGCCCAGTCCAGAAGGACCTCCCCGAGAATCCACAGAATCTTGAGAAATAATAAATCCCAGCTTTTTAAGATACCAAGTTTGGGATGGTTTGTTCAAGCATCAAAAGCTAACTTATACATCCAAGCTATTCCTCCCAGGTGGTGATCTTCTGTGACTTCAGCCTATAGTCCTCACCTGAACACATAGCTGAAATGGAGCCCTTCATTGTAGATTAAGTAACCTCCATATCTGTAGGAAGCAGAATTAGCAACAAACACAATACACTGGGAAAAACCAAAGAAGAATCCATAAACATTTGCTTTTCGAATGGCTGTCTTAAATGGCTTCACCAGCTCTGTCTCAAATGCTTCTATAAAGTGCCTCTCCTTTCCAATTCCAGCAATAGTGCGGATGTTATTGAGGGCTTCACTTGTGATCTGAAGAATGAAAAAGAGTCTTAGGAATAAAAGAATTTAAATAACTACTTTCATGGTATTTCAGCTGCCACATGGATTAGATCTAGTGCAAATGTCAGAATGTGGTACAAATCAGAGACAAAGGCATAATCTGGGAACACAAAGAAGTTGATGGAGATCAACCATGAGACATTCTGCAAGTTCAGCTCAAGTTCTACTTAAAACTACCATGGCTTTGTTGCCTCCACTGACTGTGGAGTGGTGGTGGTAGGGTAGGAGGGGGTAGATATATATGCATGGATATCCTTGAAAGCTTTTCAGCTTCTCCATTAATTCATTTAAAATGTCTAATATGGTACCTTAAATGTCTTCTTAGACAAAAGTTTAATAATACAAATTTAAAATATGAGCTTCTATTTTCTTAAAAAATTAATCTGACCAAATGTTATTTAAATACATTTAAATGAATTATAAAGCTTATCTTTTAGCCTACACTACAGCTTTGTTTCAATCCACGCTCCAGGGTGAATGATCACCGTTTCTAAGTTAGGGTCCTGTTCTCAATAAGACACAAAGGTGGGCTGCTTCCAACCACTGGCGCGTGAAATCCTTTTGGCTTCTGCCAGCTTGGGCAGTGTTCACATTTTCTCTCTTAAAAGAGACAAAACCTAGATTACAGTGAAGTGGCTAAAAGAATGAGGGTGTGTCTGTGTGTGTGTGTGTGCGCGTGCATGATTTCTCGCACCTAAGGAATGTCCGTGCTGCCATTCCCTCGTTTACCCCCGACAACCTGATGTTACTTAGAACACACTTTTTCAAGCGTATAAGTAAAACCTCAGTGAATATGAATCTAAACTATACTCCACAGTTCTGTTTAGGAGCGACATCTGCCACAAGTGCATAAGACACTAAAGTGTGAAAAGAAATGTGTATGCGATTAAAAAGATAACTCTGCTCTGTGTGGGCAGCATGACCTGGGGAAGCCATTCAGCTGACAAAAACTGAACAGATGGAAAACTGAACTACTGGCTTTGCAAATGAAAATACACTAAATTGAGGTATGGAGAAAATAACAGGAGGAGATTGAGAGGAGATTGAACATGGAACCAAACTGAACATGCCCCACTATCTGTCCAAACTTACTCACTCAAATTCTTAACAGAACTTCATTGTCACAGCCTTTGGGTGGAGGCACATATGAAAAGGCTAGTGGGAGGTTGCCAGGCATGAAAGTTAGTGAGCTCACAGCTTCCTAAGTCTCTTTGCACTACACACTTATTCTTAACTGTTAGCGTGACAGCCACTGAGCCGTAATCAGTCTAGAAATTGGGTCTATAAGATTACCTGTCCCGCAATCTCCAGAGCCTGCTTGTCTTGAGAGGCAAATCCTGTCAACATTCTGGTCTGTACAGCTCCTGATAAAGCCAAGAAAGGGAGGAAACACACTATGACCAGGCTTAGCTTCCAGCTAAAGAGGAAGGCGATAATCATGGCCACCGCGATATTAGTGAAGGAATTGACCATCATCCCAATTTGAGAGCCGGTAGCCTGAAAATCAAAAACAATCAAGTAACCTCAGACATACTGTCTCTTTTACCACAAACCATTATGTGAAAAGGCTATTTTGTTCCAAGAAAATAGTTTTTTTAAGTTCCTATGATAGGACTGACTGCTAGTCAAGATGGCAGTTCAGATAGACATGGCTTACCTCTTTGCAAAACCACATCAAAATTACAACTAAAATGTAGAACAACCAGCACTCAGAACCATCAGAAATTGAGTTGAATGGAAATCTGATAAATGTGGAATTAAAGAAACCACATCCATCCAGACTGGTAAAAGGGGTGCAGACACAGAACGGGTTGGTCCCTTACTCACATATGGAGGGATATCTCAGGAGCAAGGAGTCCCAGACCCACACAGCCCAGGCTTCCAGTGCCAGAAAAATAAGTCCCCACAACTTTTGGCTGCAAAAGCCAGTGGGGATTGTGTTAGTGGAAGAAACTTCTGGAGCCCCAAGCAGTTCCTCTTAAAGAACCCACACATGCACTCACCTACTCAGACTCCTCCCTCTGAGCTCTAGCACCAGGGTAGCAGCTTGAAAGGCACCAGTAGCATAAAGAAAGGAACTGAAATGTCTGGCATCAAAGTGAACCTTTGTCGCTTTGCTAAACCCTACACCCACATTGCAGGCAAGCTGGTGCCATATCTGAGGCTCCATCAACCTGGCTGTGTGACCTGCCTTGGAGATCATCAGAAGCTCTTCCGATTTACACGATTTACAGGCCCACCCTAGCTGCTTTTCCATGTGAATGGCTGGTCTTGGCTCCAAAATCCTATCAAACAAGCAACAGCTGGCTTCAGCGAGCCCTACTGGCAGCCAGCTCAGAGTCACAGCTTGGCTTTGACTGGGAATCTCCAAGCCAAGCACGACTAGCAGCCATCTCAGACTGCTTTACAGATCAGGAATGGTGGTCCTAGGCAAAACACAGGTAGGGGTGGACTTTGGCCTTCACCACCCAGGAAACCCCAGGGCCAGTGCACCTAGTAGACAGCTACAGACCACATCTGAGCACCACCATCCTGCCCCTGCACAGCTGATCCTCCACAGAGGGCAGAAGTTGGTACTAAGTAGTCACAGCCAATCCTTGCAGCTGACTGGCCTGGGTAAATCCCTTCCATTGATCTGTTAACAGCAAACAAGGCTCAACTACAAGAGGAGGGTGTACTCAGCCCACACAAAAGGCAACCTGGAGTATTCAACTTCGATGATGGGGAGACTATGCCACTGGATCCTACAGGACACCTACAACATTGGGCTACATTACCAAGACTTGGAGTCAAAGCAGTTCTACCTAATACATAGAAACAAACACAAGGAGGCTACCAAAACAAAAAGACAAACATGGCCCAAATGGAAGAACAGATCAGAACTCCAGAAAAAGAGCTAAATAAAATGGAAATAAACAATCTAGCAAATGTAGAGTTCCAAACACTGTTTACTAGGATGTTCAAGGAACTTAGTGAGAACCTCAATAGTATAAAAAAGATCCAGTATTGAAGATCCATATCATTGAAATGAAGAATAATTTTCAGGGAAACAAGAATAGAGTGGAAATAGCCAAGAATCAGATTGATGATTTGGAACATAAGGAAGCAAAAAACAACCAATCAGAACAATAAGAAGAAAAAAATAAAAAATAAATAAGGGTAGTATAAGTAGCCTGTGGGAAAATTTCAAGAGATCCAACACTCACATCATAGGGGTGCCAGAAGGAGAAGAGAAAGAGCAAGAAATTGGAAATCTATTTGAAAAAATAATGAAAGAAAACCTCCCTGATTTGGTGAAGGAAATAGACATGCAAAGCCAGGAAGCACAGACAGTCCCAAACAAGATGGACAGAAAGAGGCCTACCTCAAGACACATCATAATTAAAATGCCAAATGTTAAAGATAAAGAGAAAATCTTCATAGCAGCAAGAGAAGTTAGTTAACTACAGGGCAGCTCCCATAACACTATCAGCGGATTTCTCAAAAGAAACTTTGGAGGCTAAAGGGACTGACAGAAAATATTCAAAGTCATGAAAAGCAGGGACCTATAGCCAAGATTGCTCTACCCAGCAAAGCTACCATTTAGAATCAAAGGGCAGATAAAGAGCTTCCCAGACAAGAAAAATCTAAAGGAGTTCATCAGCAGCAAACCATTATCATATGAAATGTTGAAGGGACTTACTTAAGAAAAAGAAGATCAAAACTATGAACAATAAAGTGGCAAAAAAATACCTCTCTATCAACAATTGAATCTAAAAAATAAACTAGACAAACAAGGAAAACAGAGACTGAATCATGGATACGGAAAGCATTTTAATGGTTGCCAGTGGGAATGGGGTGTGGGGGAATGGGGTGTGGGGGAATGGGTGAACAGGTGAGAGGATTAAGAAGTACAAATAGGTAGTTACAGAATAGCCATGGGCATGTAAAGTACAGTATAGGAAATGGAGTAGCCCAAGAACTTATACACATGACCCATGGATATGAACAAGGGTGTGGGGTTGCCTGAGGGAGTGGGGGGTGCTGGGTGAAGAGAGGCAAAGGGGGAAAAATCAGGACAACTGTAATCACATAATCAATAAAATACAATTTAAAAATTACTATGTTAAAATATGTATAGCATAATGTTTATTATTTTAGCCATTCATAACTGTAGTATTTAATGGCACTAAGTACATTCACAATGTAGTGTAACCATCACCACAATCCACACCCATAAACTTTTCATCATCACCAACGAGAACCCTGCACCCATTAAACAGTAACCTCCATTCCTCCCTCTCCCGAGGCCCTGACCACCTTTACTCTAGTTTCTGTCTATGAATTTGCCTTTCCTAGGTACCACATGTAAATGAAATGATACAATATGTTTCTGTGTCTAGTTCAGATTACTAAGCATAATGCTTTTAAAAACTATTTGTGTTGTAGCATGTATCAGAATTTTCTTTTTTTTAATTAAAGTACAGTTAACATACAATTTCATATTAGTTTCAGTGTACAACACCGTGATTTAACATTTAAATATCTTAAGAAATAATCGCCATGATAAGTCTGGTGACCACGTTTCACCATGTAAATTTATTACAATATTATTGACTCTATTTCCTATGCTGCACATTACATCCCATGACTTATTCACTTCATAACTGGAAGTTTGTACCTCCCTTCATGCCCCTCACCCATTTCAGCCATGCCCCCACCTCCTCTCTCTCTGGCAATCATCAGTTTGTTTTCTGTACCTGTGAATCTGTTTATGTTTTTGTTTGTTCATTTGTTCTGTCTTTTAGATTTCACATACAAGATAAATCATATGGTATGTGTTTTTCTCCAACGTATTTCCCTTAGAATAATACTCTCTTGATCCATCCATGTTGTTGCAAAAGGCAGTATTTCATTCTTCATTTATAAATATTACATCTTCTTTATCTAGTCATCTGTTTTTGGAACTTAGGTTACTTCCACATCTTGGCTACTGTAAATAATGCCACAGTGAAGGGGTGCATATATCTTTTCAAATTAGTGTTTTCCTTCACAGCAGATAAACACCCAGAAGTGAATATTGGATCATCCTTTTTAAAGGCTGAATAATATTCCATTATAGCTATAAACCACATTTTATTTATCCATTCATCTGTTGATAAACACCTGGGTGTTTCTACCTTTTGGTCATAATAAATAACTCTGCTATGAACATGGGTATCCAAAGATTTTTTGTGTGTCCCTGATTTCAATTCTTTTGGATATACACCTAAGAGTGGAATTACTGGGTCATATGGTAGTTCTATATTTTAAAAGGTAGGTTATTTTAAATAATGGGCTCTCCTAATGCCTTGGAAGGCTGGATTAGTAAAAGTCCATTTTATTCACAGCTTCTTGGAAGCTCATCTATTAACCGATCTCATTTCATGGGTGTCAGCACTTGAGTAGTGAGTGTGAGATTAATTCAGCCCTAAGCACGGGTTGCATGGCTGTCAGGCATCATGCATTCGGCTTGCTTGAAAATACCCAGGCATTGGGCTTATGATGGTATTACTTATTTTTCAGTGAAGATTGATGCTTGTGCTATAATTACAGTTTTAAAATTCACACAAGCCTGTTATAAGACACTACTTTGATTCTCACTGAAGTTAGCCTGCTCGCCGGTACAAAGTTACGTGCTGATTTAATACATAGCTGTTTAGTCAACACAGATAGAGGAAATGGACTCAGTCTCAATACAGATGGAGATGGGACCACTGTGGTAGTCAGTATTTTTGCTAATCAAAAGTATTTCATAGTTCCAAGTTTTCATTTTACTTCAGCTATGCAAAGGTTGGTGCCTCCTGTGTAGAAAATGCATGGGTGCACACAACTATGGGACTGCTAATCAAAATTGAAGAGACTTTAGCATTACTTAAGATAAAGAATGTAAAACAACCAAAAGTAAGGTATTAGGTAACTACAGGTGCTAAGGCAGTATTTATAACCGGAATCTTCCTGCTGTGCTGAACACTCAAATGGAATAGGAACTCTGTGGTCTAAAGAATTCCTGTGTGCTGGTACTAACTCCCTTAATGGCAAGAATAAAATCTAAATTAAGAATTTCTTATTTTTATACCTATGCTCATACCATCATTATCCACAATAGCCACAAGGTAGAAGCAACTCAAGTGCCCATTTATGGAGGAATGGTCAAACAAAACATGGTCTATACATGCAATGATGTGTTATTCACCGTTAAAAAAGAGATGAAATTCTGAAATTTCATGATATGGACAAAACTTGAAGATATTGAGTGAGACAAGCCATGTCACAACACATGTTGCATAATTCCACTTATATGTGGTTCCTGGAATTTATAGAGACAGAGTTGAATGGCGGTTATCAGGGGAGAGGGGAGGGAGCAATGGCCAGTCATTATTTAAAGGCGGCAGAGTTTCTGTCTGGGCCAATGAAAACTTTCTGGAGATGGATAGTGGTGAGAGTTGCGCAACAGTGTGAATGTGCTTATCGTACACTTAAAATTATTAAAATGGCAAATTTTGTGTTATGTATATTTTACCACAATTTTATAAACAAGAATTTCTGGTTGGAAAGGAGTATTTCGAAAAATAGCTGTGCAGTTTTTCTTTGGAATATTATTTTGTTTCCTTTTACATTTTATTCGGTTGATATATAGTGTCTTAGGCTAATTACTATAAATATATCTGTGCATATATAGTGTGTTAGGCTGCATACCTATACATATGTATGTTTTCATAAAAAAAAGAATTACATTCTACATATTACTTTGTACTTTGATTTTTTTCTCACTTAGTGTAACATAATCATCCTTCCAGATCCATATATATGGCACTTTGAAAAGTAACTGCTTAGTATTCTTTTGTATGGCTGTATTGTAATTTGTTCAACTGTTTCCTATTGGCAGATATTCAGGTAGTTTCCATGGGATTTATTAATTTTTTCTTTGTCAGTACAACAAATATGCTTGAATGCACACTGTCACACAATAAGAGAGAATTTTCTATACATAGATTTTGGTCAAAGGGTTTGCCTACCTGATTACTCTCTTAAAAAGGTTGAAAGAATTTACACTGTGACCAATATTATATAAGTGTCAGTTTCTCCCCATCTTTGCAAATATAGGAAGTTATCATTCATGGTAGTTTCACTGAGTTGATAGGTGCAAAACTGTATCTCATTGTTTTATTAGTGGGGCTCTATTAGTGAAGCTGAACAGATCTTCATTTATTAATTTCCCTCTTACATTTCTATTTTGGAGAGGAGAAATTGCCTGTCCATATATCTATTTTTAACATTTTTATTAATTCATTTTTGTTTTTTCTCAATTTAGAAGTACTACACATACTGAAATGATTAAGCACATTAATCCATGTTATAAATATTTTCCTAGTTTATGATTATATAGTTTATATAAGAAACTGAAATTTGTATGTAGCCCAACAAGTCTACTTTATGGTTTCCTACAATATTTACCTTAGGACACGCTCCCATACTCCCTCTATTATTACTCTTATTCAACAATGTTTGAAAGTTCTAATAATAGTGTAAAACAAGAAAATCATTGGTACAAATGTTGAAACAAGAGATAAAATTATCTTTTTGCATATAATTTGATTATATACCTAGAAAATCTAGATTATATTAATTTTAAAAATACAATTGATAAGAGAATTTGAAAAATGGGTGGCTATAAGATAAATATACAAAAAATAGTAGTTTTAGTTTCAACCTACAACATTCATTTAAAAATAGAATTGAGAAAAATAGCTATTCAAATAGTGAAAAAATAGATAAGAAAAAGGAACAAGATACAGGAATATATTAATATAGCTACAAACCTTGCTAAAAACCAAAGGGTCTTGTTTGTTATGTTTCTCTTGAGAACTTTCAGTATCTCCACAAAGCAATCTGTGAGTGTGAGTGTGAGTATGAGTATGTTCAATCAGAATCAAAATGAAGTTTTTTAAGAAGTCAAGATGATTTTAAAGTTCATTTAGAATATCCAACGTCCAGAAATAGACAGGTGAAAATTTTGAAGGAGAAAATCATTGTGCCTTACCAGACAATAAGAACTTAATAAATACAAGTTTTCATTATTATAACTTCATTATAAATGAAGTTGATCAAGGAAAGAGAATAGAGAACTCCCATATAGGAGTTCTACATGTACATGGGAAGTTGATATTCACAAGGGGCAGGAAGATTTCAAATCAATAGAAAATGAAATCTATATTAAATATTTTTTTGAAAAATTTTTATTAATCTTGAAGGAAAAAAGACATATTTCTACCTTACACCAATATTAATATAAATTTGACCTGAGTTAGTAATCTCATTTAAAAAATATTAGAAAACTCTTAGAACCCCTTTTTTAAAGGATAAGTAAAATCTTTGTGAAATGATTAGATAGATGCTACTCTCCAAATTCTAGTGAGAGTGAATAACCTTTAAAAGCCCCTTGCAGACTGAAGAACAGAAAAATAGAAAAGATTATGGTTTATTTATGTAACCTCAGCTCAAGAGTAAGGTGAGCTGGACACTAGAATACTCAGATGAGGAGAGTGAATTGGTACAGACTTTTCTTTAAGCAGTAAGATAATGCATATTAAACACTTCAAAATGATTATACTTTCCGTATAATCCAATGATTACACTGTGAGAATGAAAAAACAGCGAAGGATGTGTCAAGCTACATAAGGAGGCTTCCCCCACATTCTTTGCTTCCACCCTCTGGGGAGCTCTAGCAAGTCTTGTGGAATCTGAGATCTGAGCCTCGAAGCCAAAAATGGTCGGGGACAGGTGTCTCAGGAAAGTCCTCCTCTATTGCTAGACTCAGAGGAAACCCAAAACCCTGGTATATTGACTCATGTCATAACACCGATTCTGGGCACTGCCTAGCAGACCCTGTGCTTTTTAGCTACTGTCTCTCAGCATTGGAAATAGAATAGGTGGCTCTGGGGAACCTGAATCCTGCGAGGTCCTATTTCATAGGAAACACATAGGTGATTTTCCAATGGCTCGAAAGAAAGAAAGTCTACTAGAGTTACTCCAGCCCTAGTACACACCTCTCACCTCCCCCACCCCACCCACAGCTTACCCCTTGAACTTGGGAAGCATCTGTAGCAAGCCTTGTTGTCAGGGCTCCAGGGCTATTTCTGAGGTCATCAAACCAGCCAATGTTTTGCCCTAAGATTGCTCTGAAACCAAATTTACGTAGCCTTTTGGTGAGGAGTTCTCCAGATTTAGCAAAAGCATATCCCTAGACCACAAAAGAATCTTTAGTGACATGTTAATATTAAAAAGATGGAAATAGCTAAATTGCTTATTTAGAAATAAAATTCCTTACCTGGAGAAATTGAGTGCAAAGGGACACACAGCCCATTGCCACAAAAAGCAGGCACACACCATAGATCTGCGACCTTTGCTCTTCTTTATCAGGAAGTGAAAAAGTCTTTGCAAGCAGTAAGCAAGGAAGTAACTTTATTATTACGAACAATACCAAAAGAAATCGAAGTTCTTTTAGAGTTAGAAATGATTTCACTTTAAACATATTAGTCATTAAACCAAAGTTAACTTGGAATACACATACTTTAATTCCCCACAGGGAAGGAATCCCAGAGAATGAAAACCAATGGTTATGATTCACAGAATTTTCATGTTTCTTTCCCTGATGTAGGCAACTGTGTTGGCTTTTCATCCTTAATACAGATGAAAAGCGTGATGGAATGTCTCAAATCCTTTATGTAATAATGTAAAGAAAAGAAAGGAAGGAAGGAAAGAAGGAAGGGAGGGAGGGAGGGAGGGAGGGAGGGAGGGAGGGAGGGAGGGAGGGAGGGAGGGAATAGGGAAGATACTTGAGAATCCAAGGATGTTATTTGGGACAAAACTCAAATATTATAACCTTGGTCTTTCTTCCATAATAGATGCAGTAAAAGATGATGTTCCTTTACTGAGGAACATGTTCCCACTCAGGTACATTGCCTTTCATTGGTTTTATAGAATACACACACAAAATAGCATCATTATAAAAGCAACTAACTATCAAGGCATTAACCAGAATTGGCAACTGGCTTAGGAAAGAAAAATGTTTCCATCCATCTGAAGCTGAGGTTGTTGCCTCTAATTCACCAGAAGCTGAAAACATTCCCTTCAAAAACTATGAAAATTGTGAGTGGGTTGTCTTAGCCTATAATAAGTAGTAAACTGTACTCATAAGTACCCATTTTCTAAATTTACAGATATGCTCAAGTAGTAGATTGGGGACCAAGTGTTGCAATAAGAAAATGGAGAGAATAGCCACATACTCTATTTCCCCACAATGAAAGGGGTTTTAGGTATAACAAAGTCTTTCTAATTCAGACTGAATGAGGAAACTGAGAGTTCAGAAAAAAGAAGTATACATTGTAGAGCTGTACAACAAGTCCTTATTTATTGCTCAAAGGAAACCATTTATTCAATAAATATTTATTGAATGTCTGCTATATGCCAAATAAATCTTCTGAAAACAGTGTATAACAAATTCCAAAGTGGAGGGAAGGTTCCAGATTGATGAGATTTATCGTTTCTAGGACAAAACATTTCTAGAGCCCTCCTGGTCCTTAATACAGGGAAAGTGGGCTCAGAAGTCACCACCGTCACTCTTCCCCTGATAAAGCAGCTCGCATTTTCACTTTATAGGATTTAAAACTCAGGAACTTAAAGGTATATTTAAATTTACTTTTTGAAAGCACTCTACAAATCCCCTGCAAACCCAAACTGTGATGGCACAGCTCCTGTTCCTCTGTAAGGTCACCTGTTATAACCAGAGACTAAAGAACTATAGATTAGCCAAGTTTAATTCTTATTTTATAGCTGGAAAACTAAAGCCCAAAACATCAGGTCTTTTATGCACATTCATGTAGCTGCTGGTCATTATTGGTAAGGAAATGCCCGTCTTTCTGATTTTATTGCAATGGTTTTCTTCTGAGCATGTTCTTCAGCTCTTGGTATTATTCATCTTCTCAGTGTGAAAAAAGAATATTTGACTAATGTTAAATGCTAAATTTATTATGTAAATTTAATGTGGAATCCACATAACTGTTCAGTGCAAGATTGGGCATCTATCTATCCATAATCTTTTTTTTTTTTTTGCAAAATTTTGCCCTGTGTGTTCTGCTTTCTTTGCACCTGCAAACCAAAGGGCTAGCCCTCAATGGGCTCCTCTGTTCTTCGACGAGGTGTATTGTGAGCGTATATCAGAGCTATTCTTGTAACAGTAAATTTGTTTAAGGAGAAAAACTCTTGCTATTCACCAGATACCAAAAGTGTCCATTAACCTAATTTAACTTAAGTGAGGGTTACCTCAAATTGGGCTTCTTAAAATAGCTGGTTCAGATTGATTTTCCTGTCCCTTATTACAGACAGGGAAACTAAGGTGCATCAAGGAGAAGCCACTTGCCCAGATGCACACAAAGAGTACACAGCAAAGGCCAACTACAGACAGAGCTAGGGCTGGCGACCTCCACAGTTCAGGCTTTTTTCCATCCCAATCGCTATGCTTGGAACACTGGGCACATTTTCCAAATGAGAAAGACCCAGGGAATGTGGATCAGGTAAATTGTGCCTTCCATATAGACTGAGGCTTCACTACACTAGCGGTCAGGCTCCTAGTAATGTCCAGTCATTTGTTGAGTCCATGTTCTGAATTGTGGTCTCAACACACCAAAGTGAATATTGTGCCCCTTAGAGATGTCAGAGCGAAAATAGCATGATTAAAAACAGACTATTATCTGGCTGGTGATTATACCTCATGGGATAAAAACATAATGAACCTACTGATGAATGTGTGATAATTATTCCAAGAGTAATCAGAAATAATCTTCTTTACCAGAGAGGAAACACAGTGGTTTGTTAGGATCATTCCCTCAGCAAACATAATCCGTGAGTAGACTTTGGATTCTGCCAGCTAGACCCTGCTGCCCTGGTCCTGCAGTCCTCCAGTGAAAAGCTCAGTGGTCCAGGCTGTTTGTTAGGATTTCTGGTTGCAACCAGGAGAGTGACAGAGAGTACTCTCACCACCAGTAGCTGGTGGGTACTCTGTGGGGGAAGGGGTTGTAGCTGAATCATCAAATTGTTTCTGTCTTGGTCATTTCATAGACCACTAGAGCTGGAAGGTGTCTCCGAAATTATCTTTGGTGCTTCTTCACTTTATAGTTCAGGAAACAGAGGCTCAGAGAAGTGGCATGATGTGAATCCAGGACACATGACAGGTGAAGCCCAATTATCACGGCAGTGAAGGGCACTGGTTAGATTTTAATAGAAACTGCCGAATTCTGCACCAAAAGCAAAATAAAAATCATCATAACAAAATAAATGCAGTACTTGGTAAGTAACCTGCAGAGCCAGTTTCAAAAGAAAAGTCTCCTGGCAAGGAAACCAGGACTCTCTCTACAGCAGCTCATATAAAGGTAAAGTTGGGCAAGTATGTTCCGTTCTCTGCTTTTATAAAACAGAAAGAGGTGGTCAGCAAAGGACGCTGACCTCCTGGGTTTATTTTAAAAGCAAATATCTGTGGTATAGTCTTGGCTCTTTACAGATGCAACCCCATCCCCTATGCCTTCTACATCTACATCACTGCCAAGTGCAATGCATTTCCAGGGCTTCTCGCTACTAAAATGCCAGATTTATGAGAGCAGGGAGGGGCTGTGATTTTCTTCCTCATCTTTCTGTTCCCAATACCAGCAACAGGATCTGGTAAACTGTAAGTAATCAACAAATGTTTGTTAAGTGGTGAAAAGATGAATGGATCTTTTGTTTAATGCCTGTCTAATTCATAGACTTGAAACTCCATCAAAGGGAGACACCACGACTGACACTGCATTTCTAAGTTCCTAGCACTGTGTCTAGGTGCTAGGTAAGCACCTAGCACCAGGAAGAAAACAAATATCTGTTGATTGAACAAACAGATATTTCTATTACTTTAGGATATTGTACTTACTAGACATTAAGGAATATAAATTAATTATTTAAAAGATTTTCAGCATAAAGGTTTTACATAACCAGAAATTCCATTTACCAGAGGTTGAATGTCCCTGTGTTTCCAATTTCCTCTCTGAAATGAACATTATTTCCTCACTTACCACAAGGGGGCAGTGTGGAAATTGAAGCCAGAGGCACTCGCTACCCAATTGACTTGATTTTGTTGACTAACCAGGACTTTCTGTACAGCTCATGCCTGTAGGAACATTTATTTCTGGTCAGGAGTTCTGAGAGAGGGAGAGGGAGGGGAAGAGGGAGAGGCCAGGGAAGAGAGAGAGGGAGGAGGAAGAGGAGCGGGAGGAGGGGGAAGGGAGGAAAAAAAGGGGGAGGGAGAGAGAGAAGGAGACAGAGAGAGGAGAGAGAGGAGGTGGGTAATTAAAACTTAGGACTCTTAACTGAGCTCTGACGGTGTGGTGTGCTGGCAAATCCTTAGACTTCCACAAGGCTGAGTTCTAGTCCTGGCCCCATCACCTAATGCCTGTGTTACCTTGAACAAGTGAATGAAGTTCTCTACATGCTTCCTGTTGACCTCACAAGATGTGTATGTGTGCGTAAATCTCAACTAAGAAAACCTGCTAGCATTTTGATGAATAATTTAACAATGATAAGGTTGCATTAGAACTTGACTCTATAGTCACATTGCCTGAATTTGAATCTTAGATTCCCTACTTGCTATCCTAAGTTCTCTATGCCTTGGTTCCCTCCTTTGTAAAATGGGAACAATATGAACACCTACTGCAGTTGGTTATTAGGAGAATTTAATGCACTGTTGTATACCAAGTGCTTAGATGATGTCTAATTAAGGTTTGTAGTTATTTTTTGTTATAGTGATGAAGTCATATAGAAAATATCAAAACTTCTAGGAAGTGAAAAACAAATAAATTTAATCTTTCCCCATGCCTTATATTACTTCTCTCTCGTTTTGCTGTTTTCTCTCTACCTCACAGTATCAATGATGCAATCAGCAGGAACGCAGAGACTTCCACAACATGCACTAAAACCTATTATAAGTAAAACTTTGTACCTCAGCAATTCAACAAGGTCAAAATAGCCCTCAAACCCTTTTGCATTATTCAGCAAACCTGTTTGCACTCTGATTTGGTTCACATACAGGTAAACTGGCCCTTTCTCCACCGAATGAGCCGCCTTTTTACAGACACTGTGGCTCTGTGAGTGTCCCGCCTGCCTCAGTGACGGTGCTTAGCTTCTCCTCTTACCTTCGGTGCGATGGGGTAGTAGGGGCATTTTTAATTCTTTAGAGATGAGGGAAAAAACCCTAAATATGTTAAACAGCCAATCTATCAAAAATGACAATATCCACTGAGAGAAGAAAAAAAGGTGAGGAGAATAAAGCAAGTTGAGCTGTTAGCTTACCCCAAGAATCTGGCTGAATAAAAAGGCATAAAGGGGTGTGACCGCGCCGTTGGCAGCCGCACCCACAGACCCCACCAGCATGTAGGGCCACTCCGGGGCGTTGAGTTTCAGGATCCTCCTGACCGGGGCAGGCTCGATTTCTTCTTCCACGGGAAGGTCGCTGTCCTTGAGGGGAGAGAGGGTTAGATTGATCATCCAAATGCACACACAGGCAATTTCTCGTAGACTCTGTTTTTTTATGAAGCAGGTTTTTTGGCATTCACAGATGTAGGAGTCGTGACATGATTGGTCATGACTGACCTGAAAGACCTGTAAGATGTAGTGAGTCGTTATTTTGTGAGGAATGACTTTGAATTTCTTTCGACCACGCTGTCGCCAGCAGAGGGGAGCCCAGTGAGGTGAATCACCTGAAAGTGAGCTTCCAGTTCTCATTTCAAAGTAGCATATGTGCTGACTCTCAGTGAATAATAGATATGTTGGATTTGCAAGAAAAATAAACCCCTGACTTAAAAAAATAATTGTGTTACAGTAGTATTGACAAATTTGAGGACATGTGTAATTTTCAAGGTATGTCAAATTTCTTAAGGCAAGCCAGGGTATCTGAAATGAGGCAAAATAATTTTTAAAATTTGTGAAATGGTGTCAACAGTTATCATTTACATGTGTTCTGTAAGGTGTCTCTTCATTAGTACCCAAGAGTAAATTTTAATCTATTTAGATTTCTCAATTTCACATTTTCTCCACAGGGAGTGAAAATAATTTCACTATTTCCCTGTTCTGATCTCTTTATTTGCCATTAAAGCATCAGGGCCAGCAAATTTTTATCTTCTTGAAGGCAAATGTTATATTAAAAACCTCCTTTTTATCATCATTTTTCCTTGCTATCGATATTACTCAGTGCTTTGCCTTTGGCCCATTTATTCAATAATTTTTAAATTTATTACATGCTTTATTTGAGAAAGGATTTTACATGGCTTATATAGATCTGTAATAATTTTTATATTTCTCCATTCAAATATACTAAAATATCTATAGGAAATTGACTACAAAACTTTTATTAGTGTTCTCTTTCATTAACACATAGTCATTTACCTTTTTGGTAGCTGAATGTCTGGAACATACAACAGCAAGGAATTTTAAATGCTTTTATTTTGCTTATAAATCAAAGCTCATATTACCAATTCAGTTTAAATAAAAGCCTGTACCATGTCTGTGTCATTAGAGTTGCAAGCCAAACAGGATGGAGAAGGCAGCTTAGCTAGAGATGGATGTGCTCTTGCCTTCGTTTTAAGCTTTCTCTTGGCCTGCCCTCAACATTTGCACTTGTCATTACTACTCACTCATTCAGCAAATCCTTCTGTTCAATGATTTTACTTCTAACAGCTTACTAAATCTAGGAATCAATGCCGGAGAGGAATAAAGGTATGTAGGAAAGCTGAGTGGAATAGGCGTAGGAAGAATGGGGTTCTTGGTGGAGCTAACAATGGAATATATCACCAAGCACTTTAGCTCTTAGGGTCTCCGTTACCTGATCCTCAAAATGAGTTTGACCAAGGCAACAATTCTCTATGGCTTTCTCATGTTTCTGCACATATTGTGAACAGAAGCACTGACTGCCTTTGTTCATACTAATTTTTCAAGGATATTTGTATAAAAAAATAGCCTTGAAAGACACAGATGGTGTCTCCATCCCAAGAAAAGGTCAGATGTGCTTACTACCTGTTTTAAGAGGCTCCTCAAAGCTGGGATTCCTCTCCCATGAAGCACCTCCCTTCATTTACTGGTATCATCCGTCCCTTTTTGCATCAATTTATGAAAACTGGGGGCTGGGCTGGGGAACCAGCGTAAATACTATACTCTCGCTGCTGATATTGCTTTAACAAAAGCTTTTGTCTCTGACTCAGGGCGCGTGTTTTCTGCCAGCATCCATGAAATTGTGTCAGGCTAACTTGGTAACTTGCAGTAGAGGAAAATATTAGACCCTTCACAGTTGTCAATAGTGACTGGTGTCCAGATTTGGATGCATACTAGAGTCACATGGATCTATGATTAAATACACAGATTCCTGGGTCTTGTCACCACAAATTCTAATTTAGTAAGCTTAAGTATGAATCTGTGATTTAAAAAATACTCTTCAGGCCCTGGCCAGGTGATTCAGCTGGTTGGAGCATCTCCCCATGCACCGGAAGTTTGTGGTTTTGATTCCTGGTCAGGGCACATACCTAGGTTGTGGGTTCGACCCCCTGTCAGGGTACATATAGGAGGCAATAGATCAATGTTTCTTTCTCACATCAATGTTGATCTCTCTCTCTCTCACTCAAATCAATAAACGTTCCCTCGGTAAGGATTAAAAACAATATTCCTCGGGTAATTTGGTGACATAGCCCGTTTTGTGATGCCCTCAGCAGTGCTGTTTACCAGCTTGAAGACCCTGGCCAGCGCTAAGTATCTGGGATTCCGTGGTGATACATTTTGAAAGTGTCGGCCAGAACATTAAACCCCAACATTTCCTGGCACTACCTTCACACTGGGTGGTCCACACATGGCCTGACATGACAGGAATTTCTCTGGCTTTTTGATACCTGGAGGTATTTCTAACCCTAAACCACAATAGCTAAGACATTTAAAAGCAATATGAAGTAACTTTGCCTAGTGGCTCTCATTCCAAGATAAACTAACAGGAAGCAAGATTTAATTAATTTGAATGGGGTGGGTTTTTTTGTCCAAATTTACTAAACATTTGACTTTAAAAGAAACTGTTCCCTTACCCCCTAAAAGATGTGGTTATAAAGACTAAATGATGCAAAAACCAAGAACTCTGTCCCTGAACAATTGACTTTTCACTGACTTCCATTTGATATAGCTAAAAGCATAGTAGAAGAAGAGAAGAAAAAATATATAATTAAGGTCATTTTGTACAGAAAGATTTTTGTCTCTGAATTTGTAAAGCTAATGACAAATTTACTCATCAAAAAAAATTAAAAAGCTAAAAAGGAACTAAGATGGAGAATGGAAAGATGAATAAATTAATGGCAAACCAGTAACTCAAAGGGGAAGATCAAGTTATAAAAATGGAGGTGTCTCCTCACTTCAGAGTTGGTCTCTGCTGCAGCTCTGTTGAGCTGCACAGTGCTCATTTGTTCATCACAGGTAAGGAAGTGCCCTGCCAGCAGCTCCAGTGCATGGAGGACAGTGGCCCTGTTATCCTTGCTTCCTTAACACAATACCTGCCACATAGAGATGTACAGTTGATGTCTGTTAGATGAGAGTGAAGGAAGCTTTTATGCCCGTGGTACATATATGCAACAAAACAATTATTTTTTAAAAAATACTGATTGCTTACCTACTATGTTGATGGTTAAATGCTAGACACTGGGTGTTTCCCAGTTTTCTTTCTTCCCTCTCTTTCTATAGGTTAGGTGAAAATTTAACTTCCTACTTAACTTTTATGTCCTTCTCTCTATACTTTGTTACAGTGATTTCTGCATGCCAACTTATAGGGCCTCCTGCCTTAATAATGACTTTAGGATTTGATGATAATACATGGTAACGATGACAAGCAGATATTCTTCAAATGAATAAATACTGATAGTCAATTTTTTAACCAAATGCCTGAACCATATCCTATAAGCTAACTATGATGCAGTGATGGGCTTTTAATACTTAAAACTTTAGGGGAACAGGATTTCACAACCCCAAAATGTGTCTCTTTGGCATGAGGATTATTTTAGCCTAATTATTTTTAAGAAACAAAAGATTCAGAAACACTATCTATCTCCTCCTTAACTGCCTAAAAGAATTTAAATGACACTGAAATGAACATAGGGGTGCATATATTCTTTCAATTCAGTGTTCTGAGTTTCTTCAGACAAATTCCCAGAAGTGAAATCACTGGGTCATAAGGCAGTATCATTTTTAATTTTTTAATTTTATTTTTAAGTATATTTTATTGATTATGCTATTACAGTGGTCCCATTATTTTTCTCCTCTTTATTCCCCCTCCACCTTACGTCCCCCCTCCCACCAGCATTCCCCGACCTTCGTTCATGTCTGTGGGTTGTACATATAAGTTCTTTGGTTTCTACATTTCCTATACTATTCTTAACCTCTCCCTGTCTTCTACCTACCATACATGCTTCTTATTCTCTTTACTTTCTCTCATTCTCCCCACACACCCTCCCTGCTGATAACCCTCCATGTGATCTCCATTTCTGTGATTCTGTTCCTGTTCTAGTTGTTTGCTTAGTTTGTTTTTGTTTTAGGTTCAGTTGTTTATAGTGTAAGTTTGTTGTTGTTTTACTGTGCATATTTTAGATAATCTTTTTCTTAGATAAGTCCCTTTAAAATTTCATATAATAAGGGCTGGGTGATGATGAACTCCTGTAACTTGACCTTATCAGGGAAGCACTGTATCTGCCCTTCCTTTCTAAATGATAACTTTGCTGGATAGAGCAATCTTGGATGTGGGTCCTTGCCTTTCATGACTTGGAATACTTCTTTCTAGCCCTTTTGTGCCTGCAAGATCTCTTTTGAGAAATCAGCTGATATTCTTATGGGAACTCCTTTGTAGGTAACTGTCTCCTTTTCTCTTGCTGCTTTTAAGAGTATCTCGTTACCTTTAATCTTAGGTAATATAATTATGATGTGCCTTGATTCATGCTTCTTTGGGTCCAACTTCTTTGGGACTCTTTGAGCTTCCTGGACTTCCTAGAAGCATTTCCTTGGCCAGATTGGGGAAGTTCTCCTTTGTTATTTGTTCAAATAGGTTTTTGATTTCTTCGTCTTCCTCTTCTCCTTCTGAACCCTATGATTTGTATGTTGGAATGTTTAAAGTTGTCCCAGAGGTTCCTAACCCTCTCCTCATTTTTTTGAAATATTGTTTCTTCATTCTGTTCTGGATGAATGTTTGTTTCTTCCTTCTGGTCCAAATCATTGATTTGAGTCCCAGTTTCCTGCCCATCACTGTTGGTTCCCTGTATATTTTTCTTTATTTCACTATGCATAGCCTTCCCTTTTTCTTCTATTTTGTGACCATACTGAACCATTTCTGTAAGCATCCTGATCACCAGTGTTTTGAACAGTGCATCTGATAGGTTGGATATCTCTTCATTGCTTAGTTTTACTTTTGGAGCTTTGATCTGTTCTTTCAGTTGGGACATATTTTTTTTTTGTCTCAGTGCACCTGTTATGTAGTAAGGGGCAGAGACTTAGGTATTGGCCAGGGTGGGGCAACAACCCACATTGCTGTGTTGTGGAGCTCTGTGGCGGGAAGGGGTCTGAGAGGGAACAATGCCACTTGCTTGGCTCTCGGCAAGCTTTCAGTGACTTCCCTAGCCACCCACAAGCAAATTGGGCCCTTCTGGTTCTGATTCTCAGTTGGGTGGGTTTTTGTACCTTCTAGGACACTGTGGGTCTCTCTAATGACCTCTCCCATGAGGCTGGGAGTGTTTCCTGCTGCCACAACCCTCACAGGTTTTTTCGGTCAGAGATTTTGAGGCTTTATTTCCCATCAGTTGCATGGTCTGTCTCTCTCCTTAGTTGTTCCTCCTAGTTTATCTGCACACAAATGTGAGACCACCTAGTCAGCCAGCACTGCCTTGCCACGAGTCCTCTCTGCCTTTGCCACCTGTTTCCATACCTCCTACTGGTCTGGATAAAGGTTCCTTCTTTAACTCCTTGGTTGTCAGACTTCCAGACAGTTCAATTTTATGGCAGTTCTGGTTACTTTTTGTTTTTAATTTTTTGCTTTTCTTCTTTTGGTTAAGGGAGGAGGTAAAGTGTATCTATCCATGCCTCCATCTTGGCCAGAAGTCCCCATTTTTAATTCTTTGAAGTATCTCCATACTGCTTTTCACAGTGGCTGCACCAGTCTGCATTCCCACCAACAGTGCAAAAAGGTTCCCCTTTCTCCACATTCTCGACAGCACTTATTGTTTGTTGATTTATGGATGATAGCCAATCTGAGAAGTATGAGATGATATCTCATTGTGGCTTTAATTTGCATTTCTCTGATGATTAGCAGCCCCCGTATTCATCAATAGATGAGTGGATAAAACAACTGTGGGACATTTACCCTAAGGAATACTACTCAGCCATGACAAAGAAGAAGCTTTTACCCTTTGTGACAGCATGGATGGACCTGGAGAACATCATGCTAAGCAAAATAGGCCAGTCAGGGAAAGACAAATACCATATGATTTCACTCCTATGTGGAATCTAATGAACAAACTGAACTAAAAAGCAAAGTAGAGACAGACTCATAAATAAAGAGCAGGTTGACAGCTCTGGGCAGGGGGGAGTTGTGGGGGTAGGACTGAGCAAAAAATAAAAATAACTCACAGGCATGGACAAGAGTGTGGTGATTACAGCAGGGAGAGGGTAGGTGGAGGTGGAATAGCATATGAGGGAATAAATAGTAATGGAAAAAATAAAATAAAAATGAACTACTGAAATTTAAAAAAAAAAAGAATTTAGATAGAGGGCCTATTCCAGGAAGGGAACTATCACCAGAGATCACTGCAAAGAATATGAGCTATGTGTGGTAGACTGAGGGCAATTTAGCAAAACCTGCCTATTCAAAATTCTCCTTGTGCCCCTTTGTCTGTGTGCTGTCTGGCAAACATTTGCTTTTCCTATCTTCCTGTGAATTGTTCTCTTGCAGTTTAAGGTCCTAGATATCTATCCACTTCCCTAGCTCTGGAAGACATATAAGCTTCAATTGCCTATTTGTCTTTGGGTCTCATATTCTTATGGAGACCCCATATGTCAATTTAACTCTTCAACAAAGCCCAAAGAACCAACGGCAGTAGAGATAAATTTTTCCTCCCCAACAATGTTGACTGATTTCATATATACAGGGATGGGCAGAAGTAGATTTACAGTTGTGAGTATGTGAAACAAAGTTTATTATTCTGTTATTATTTATGCATTTATTATTGTATTATTTACTATTATTGTAACCTACTTTTTCCCACCCCTCTATTTTATCTTGTGTTCTAGTTAAACTGACAGAGATGCCTATACATCAGAGACTAAAAACCCTCACCTGCCGATTTCCCCTAATCCTAAACTGAATTTTATGAGCATTATCACGAAGATCCAACCCCACTGTTGAGAGCCAATAGTACAGCTTGGAGGGTGAAAAGAAGTGGCCTGTAGTCTGCACTGAGCCCAGCTAACCACGAAATGGTTATCACACCGTCTATGTTTTCAGAGTCAAACTCTAAGAGGCCACAAGGTGGAGTGACTTCTTTATGTAATTAAACCTTTTGCACTGCAACATAAGAATATTCTCCCCATCAACAGAAGGTAAGGTTAGAGCTTCTAAAAAGGAAGAATGTCACCAGCACTTGAGCTTGCAGAGTTTAGTAAACTATGAACATACTTTAAAATTTACTTGAGATTAGAATAACTCAAATACTTAAAATACTTTAAAATTTACTGGGGTTAGAATTCTGTATGTTAAAATTTATTAACCCTAATTCTACTGTATCCTTCATAGAAATACTTGATATTTTTAATCTTAAAGATTTTCATATAATTACCATACAAGCAAGTAATACTAATAGAAGCATAAGATCTTTTCCTTTTGAAGCTTTAGCAAAATCACATTGGCTTCCCTGTCATTTTCTTCCTCCTTCTCTTTTCTCCCTTAACTAGACAGAGAAATATAAAGTGGCTCTTTTAAAAATTATACTGGTTAACATTGAACTGAGTTTAATTGTTCCACTCTAATTTACATTGCTAATGAGTAGACTATTACATGGAACATTTTTACATCTCTAAAACAAAACTCTGTTTTTGATTTGTTTTCTTTTGCTGAAATGATTCCCCTCGGAGTTTTCCCTGCATCATAAGGACGCCACAGCGACCTGACCTCCAAGGAATCAGATTGTTCTCTGCAACGGTGCCGGGCCATCTACCGGGTTCAACAACAGCAACAACAAAATCAGATTTTTTCTTCTTCCTAACGCTCTAGCTGCTGTTGTCAAATATTTGCCCAGAGGAAAAAAAACTATAAAAATGCACAAATTGAATATGATTGCTGCTGCTATGTTTGAAATTTCAGTGTCGTGTTTTATTCTTTCTCCCTCGAAGCTCTATTAAACGCCTTATGTAACGTGCTTCGTAGTTAGTAGTTATTCGTCGCAGCACCAAAACGTCAATGAAATACCAATTTCTACTGTAGAAGTTGAAGAAGATTCAAGTCCTTACTGGCAAAATGCAGTGAGCGATCATGCTTGTTAAATGTTTTCTCTCACTGTGATTCACCCTGCTGCTCCCAAGAAAAAGTGTTCACCTAAGAAATTTACTTAAAACAACTCTATTAGGTAGTAGGACTTTATTATTCACTATTAATGCACTGAAACCAAAAGAGAACCGTAAGAATCCTTCTTAGTCATAAGGTCATAAGTAGTACTACACTTTCTTCCAAATTTGTCATTGTGAATGAAAGCTTGCGATTACTTTCAAAATAAATTCTCACATTGCAATCATTAAAGACAATTTGAAATTATATCATGTGTAATAAATGTGCATGTGATTAAAATATTCTGACTTATTTCCTTTGAAAAATATGGTATTTTAGTCTTTATTTTATTGTAGAAATTCAATTTTTTATACTAGTTTTAAAATCTTCCAGTGACCTACTAGGTTCAGGGCACTTGGTGAGGTGCCCAAATTGATACAAACAAAAATAATGTATAGTCCCCAACTTTAAGAAGCTTATAATTTGGCCCTGGCTAGTGTGGCTTAGTGGACTGAGTGCTGGTCTGTGAACCAAAGGGTCACTGGTTGATTCCCAGTTTAGGGCACATGCCTGGGTTGCAGGCCAGGTCCCCAGTCGGGGGTGCACAAGAAGTAATCATACACTGATGTTTCTCTTCCTCTCTTTCCCTCTCCCTTCCTCTCCCTCTTAAAAATAAATAAATAAATAAATAAAATCTTTAAAAAATACATAGACAAAGCATATGTTTTTTAAAAGAAGCTTATCATTAAGTAAGGAGATAAGATAACATGACCTCAAATAAAGTTCAATAATAAAATTTCCATGAAGAGTCAAATGAAGGGTAATGGGGGATCAAAAGTAAGAGTGTCAGGGTTGAAGAATAAAGTGTGATGACTAAGAAAGTCCTTAGGGAGGAGGGTGGTCACTTTGTGTGAAAGTCAGTGCCCACGACGACTTTGGATACGTGCGTCCTGATGAAGAAGGTTCTATATTGCTATATGTGTTATTCCTCTCCTATCTCTTTCATGTTTGTGTTGTTATGAATTATGTTAAAACTAATAGTATGGATTAGTTACCTCAGATGGTAACTAGCCTTATTGCAGGGGGTCATTTTGTAAGGTATGTGAATATCAAATCACTATGATATACATCTGAAACAAATAGCATGTTGTATGTCAATTATTCGTTCATTTAAAAAATTGTGGTGACTTGTTAAGGCTAGCCTTATCAAATATCTTTGTTGATCAAACACTTTTGCCAAGGTTATTATAATTAAAGAAACAAATTTTAAAATTTGGGGAAAAACATTTCAGATAATCTTAAAAACTCTTAAAGGGTATCTGAATAATCAAGTATCTATTAAGTACATGCAATTTGCCTATGTTTATTAGGATGGTATAGTTAAGGACTATTAATTAACCCTTAATAGTCCAGTCTACCACATATTCTTAAAAGTTATTAATTAATCTTTGTTTCTTTAAAAAGATTGTGTAAGATTTAGAGTTTCCATCAGGTCCTAATGTGTTCTTCCATTTAGTTTGACTTCATGAAATATTACTAGACATAGGCCTTAAAAACTCACATTCTAGGTCTTAAGGGCACACAACAGTCCCCAGGAGAAATCATTCCCTCATGAGTGTGTGGTTACTGACCTTTCTGTCTTCTTCATAAGGAGATTTATGACCTACAACAGCTAATGGAGGCTCATGTGCCAAGTATGAAAGCTGAGATTTGGAGCGTTGCCGGATGGAAGCTCTGTAAATAAAAAGAAGAAAGACTCTGTAGATTGTAGGCAGGTTGGAACAGGACTCAACTAGTATCCAAGTTTACAACGCATGTCAAATGCAGAAATGTTTTCCAGGTCACACTGTAACCAGATAAGGGAGCTTTGTGGTTAGACCTGACAGAACTACTCTTAGGGTAGAATTAATCGGTGGGGTTGCTCTGAGCCCCAAGCTAGACCTTAATCCAGAGGGGAGAAAGAGAAGGGTGTAAAGTTGTCTACTAGTTTACCAGAAAAATGTGAGACTCAAACCTGTTCCAAACCTACATGGTTCTGCTAATCACGTTGATGGCAATGGTCTGTTGCCTTTACTTCCCTTCTGGGTTTGAGTTGTAGTGTTGGCCTCTCTCTCCCCACCCTGCCCCCACCGTGTGTTTACTTTAAAGTAATGCTACCTGGATACAAATGAGCTAGTGGAAGGGAAAAGAACCCCTGGTGAGATTTCCTCCACGCTATATCTCACCTCTAAGGATGCATTTATCAACAAATATCTTAACAAAATCTAATTTAGCTTGACGTGTTCATTCATTCATTCAGCAGATGTTTATTGGGCAACTGCAACATGCAAACCAGTTCCAGGTGTCGCGGGATCTGGTCAATCACAGGCTTCTTCCTCAAGGAGCTTAAATCTAAGGAAGAATGTGTAAAGTGCTATAAAGCACATTTGAATAAAGAGTATGGAAATTTAAAGGAAAAAGAAATGTATGGCAGCAAGTATTACCATGAAAGGCTTCTTGGAAGAGGTGATTAATGGAGGATTTGGGGTTCTTTTGTAGGCTAGAAGGAAAAGCATTTCTGAATGAGAGAATAATGTAAATGGAAGCATGAGGAGAGGAGAGAACAGGAATATTCATTATGTATACTTGGTACAGGACAGATATAGGCAATAATTGTTCAGGTTGTTTTGTTTTGTTTTCCTGAAATTTCTGGGAAGGAGACTCCTACTCTCCTCTAGGTTAAATTTGAAAATATGTAGCATTGGGAGCTGCTGGTAATTATGTCAAAACTCTTAAGGAAAGAAGCTTCCTGACAAATAAAACAAATAGTAAAAAAAATAGTAGAACTGAGAAGTGAAGAGAGATTTGGACAACTCTTGGAAGACTCAGCCTTGCCAGGAGCCAAAGCATCCTTCAAGGACTACTTAGTTATGTCAAGTGATTCTCTCCCTTTAGAGGTTAAACTAGGTTGGGTTAGGTTTTCATTCATTTGCAGAGTTTTCAATGATACAGCAATGCTGAAGACTTGAGAGGAGGGAAGCTTCCTTATCAAAGCATTTAATTGGAATTAATACGATGTCAAGAGAGAGAAGTTAGAGATGAAGAGACCTATCTCAACTGCTTAATGCAGTCTAGATAGAACCATTCACAAGTCCCTATCTCTATCACAAGTCTTTATCATTTCTAACCAGGGGAAATTGGACTAAAACAAATATAAGGGCGGTGCCTATTATATGTGCCATCTAGCCTTTTTGAGAACGCAGTAATTCATCAACCTAATTACTCTAAGTTGTTACCACGTTCTGCTAATGGCACCGCCATTCTCTTAGTCATCCAGGTTCAACAACCCAGGTGCATTTATCTCAAGTCCTCCCTCTTCCTCACTCTTGCATATTCAAACCCTTGCCAAACCTCATCATGAACAAGCATGAAACCTCTCTTCAGCCCTACTGCCTGCTACCAAACTGGCTTCTTCTGGGACATCACATTTCCCTCCCACCTGATCTGAAGCTCTACAGCAATAGAGTCATGCCTTTGAGTTAGGTAACTAAGGTGGAGCTGTCTTCTCCAGAAGGTGTAGGGAACAGACAGGTGTCACCTGGAGAAGGATGAGTGCATGATAAGGCTGAGACTTGAGGTCATGGGGCTAAAATAAAACTGAAAGCACTAGAACCCATAGGAGGAGTGTGTGGAGAGAGGAAGGTCTAAAAATACAGTTGACTCCTCCAGTTCTGAGCATGGGAAGATCTCTGCCCTCGTCCCCTCAGACTTCTACTCTTTAATCTTACATGTCTTAAGTCTCTCTTCCTATCCCCCATACCATTCCACATGTCTGTCATAGGCTGTCCGTCCCAGTAAGACAGCTCACCAGGCACTCTACCTGTCGTCCAGTTCCCCTTCCAATCTACCATAAAGGCCAAAGTTATAATTCCCTCTCACCTCTTGCCAGAAACCTACATCTGCCACTCCCTTTCTCAGAAGCTGCATCACCACTTCCTACTGCAAATAAAAACAGCGAATTTGGGGAATAGATGCTTGCTCTCTCTCAACATTATTAGTTAGGAAATTAATTGCTATCATCCATTAAATTATTCTTGAACCTACAATACATGACTAAAGAGAGACTTAGCCTTCAGAAAGACTGTAGGCAAGGAAATAAGATGCAAATTAACACTCCACTTAGTCATCTTTTAGCAAAATAAAATCTGTCAGCATACACAATGAGGTATTTTTAACCATCCTTCTCTCTCAAACTTATAAATTTTTATCTGAAGAAGGTTAATAGCTCTTTTCTGTGAGCTATTATGGACCGTATGGACCGTATGTCTGGATTTCTCATCCTAGTCAGCAAAACATGTAACTTGTGAGAACAAATGGTCAAACAGAAAATATTTGTAGGTATTAAAATGTTTATTTGGTCCTAATAATAAACTGTAAGTAAACTACTTGGAACAGGTAGATTTGGTTCATTTGGAAAGTTAAGAAAACATCCATTTTCTTGTTGACATGACATAAAACTCTTCTTTGCAACCTTTCACCTAATGATCAAAAGAGATGCCTAGTCATTTTCTGTGTTTAAGAAGTTAGTTTATATTCAGGTCATGACTCCAATGATCCTTATAATTTAATTTTTTTCCTCTAATCAGAAAAGCATGATTAGTCTACAGTCAAACTGGACATGTGTGCCTGATCTTGCCTGCTTTCAGAAGAAAAGCATGAATAGACATAACGCCAGATGTCTATAAAAACCAACAAATAACTTTGGCAATTTTATAGATTTTACTTCCTAGAGTACCTTGAAGTTATCATTTTATTATTTTCCAAGTTCAATAAATTCAATAAAATAGCATTTTATGAAATTTTTCTGTATAGTTTTGTTCTCGAAAGGAAAAATACAAAACTCTAAGCATAAACTTAGTGGACTATCCTTTGAATATTAAAAATAAATAAATTTGTATTTGAACTACTTGAAGTTGTTACCCGAATGTTTTGTTTTGAGCTTTTTAACCATTTTTTTTGCAATAAATTATTAGCTGACTATCTTGAATTGAACAAGTCCTGTAACAGCTTTGCTCAGAGCATTGCCTGAATTAAATAATCTAGCAATGCTAAGAAAATGGTAGAGAAATATGCTGTCAGTTCATTGCCTACTACATTATTCTAACTTAAGAAAAAAATCTTCAATGACATTTTCATGAATATAGACATATTCCTGAGCAGAATTCTTAATTCAGTCTTTTAATATTAAAATACCTATTTTATTAAAACTTTTAAACCAGGACAAAAAACTACAATTTAAAGTCTTGCTAATAATCATACTCCAAAAAATATTTTGAGAGTGAATATACTATAGTCATCCATAGAAAAAGAGTTAAAATTTAAAAAAAAAAAGAAAGAAACAGCTGGTGTTTAGGAACATTTTCTCTAAACATTAGAAAATACACTTCTTACTTCATCTAATTAAAGCATAATATGATTTTGGATGGGTTACTCTGGAAGAAGAAATATTTGAATTCAGTTGCAAGTCAGTAGGTTAAAGATTAGAGCTAAAGAAATGAATTTGACTTCCATGTAAGATGGTAATTCATTTCACAGTTAGCTTTGGGGAGAAAGACTAAACACAGATTTTTTTGAAAACCTCCTTTCTAATGCCAATAAACAACATTTTAACTACAGAGCATTTCTACCACCACCCTACCCCTTAATAAGATGAGAAGATAAAGTTAAACAAAAAAATCTGCATGAATTAGAAACAGGAATGTCAGTACAGCCAAGGGTCGTTGTTGCTATTGCCCAAGCCCTGGGGCTGTGCTCAGGGGTCCGCTGGGAGCACCTGAGACACTGCCAGAGGATCACTGCTGCAGAAGGCTCCTAAGAATATTTGAAAACCTTAAAATCTTGGTTTCAAACCCCATGGTTTGAACTTACCTTAAACTGTCCCGGTAGCTCCCTCTACTAAAGCTCTGTTTGCTCTCAAGGAAAGCACCTTTGGCGTCATCTTTTCCTGTTAACACAGCGTGAGGGATTCCTTAGTGAATGCCATAAGCAGAACTGTATGAAAATAAAATTATTTACTCTGCCTGCCTCGTGTATTATTACTACATCTGATGCTAAAGCAGTCTGTTAACTTTATTGCAGTAAGTAGCACCTGTCTAGCACCTTCTAACAAAAATATTTCAAAATACTCAGCAACATTGAATCTTTTGAACTGTATATATATAAAATAGCCAATATGTTATCACCATAGAAATAGACACGTTATAGCATCAGTCATAAAAAACTTAAAGGAAGCTCACTAGAAGTAGGGGAAAAAATAACAGACTCACCAAATTAAAAAAAAAACATTCAGAATAAATCACACATGTTAAATGCATGCAGTTATGTACAATTAAACTATAGAGTTATACCCAGTAGAGTTAAAAAATTGATATGTGATATGATATAGAAAGTATGGAATGGTTGACTGATATAGGTTGGGATAAACTACCAAATCTAAAAATTTAGGTTGAAAAATTCAGAAGGGGCACTAGTGCCTGAAGTATCTACTTACATTAGTAAAAATAAGTGCAAAATATTTTAGTCATTGATTAATTCACTCAACCAATGAGAATAACACTCCTACTGTGTGCAGGACACTAGAGGAAACCTTTCTTATTTGCAAAGTTTGGGGGAAAGGGAGGAGGATGGAGTTGAACATTTTTCCACAGAAGACCTGGATTCTAGCTCTATTTCACTAACTAACTCAACCTCCTGAGCTCTTGTCCTTTCCTTTATCATTTGTATAATGCATCCGAGAACAAATGAGACAGTCTATGTTAAAGTACATGGAAACACATAAAGCATTATACACATTAACTATTTAACATAATGTATAAGCATAATGAAAAAGGCACTTGCCCTTTACACCCTCTTCATTAAGGGTTTGATCTCCTTGACTTTGCAGAGTCACTAGAGTGAAGTAAACTCCTTTTCTGTCCAACAGTTCTTCATGTGTGCCTCTTTCCACCGCTGTGCCATGTTCAAAACCAATAATGACATCTGCAGCTCTAACTGTGGATAGGCGATGAGCGACTGAAATGATTGTATGCCCTTGCTGAATCTGTAACAATGGACAGTGTGCCGTTAAATGAGACTGTAAGACAGAGCTGACATTGACCTTTGGATCATCTCTGAATTTGCAAGTAAGTCAGAACATTGGTCCCTGGGAAAATCTTTAAATAGGCTTTAGAAATGGCCAGTACACTTTCTCACATTGCTGTTCTGTTGCTGCTATTAATCGACAGCTAAAAACAAACAAAAAAAAGGAATTTAAAAGTCACATGTTTTAAGTTAGACTTAACCAGATTTTAAATTTGATATACGTGACTTTTGGAAGCGAATCCTGTGCCTTCTGTTCAACCGTGTGGAACATCGTAGTCAGCCAATGTTTTCTAAACAGTCAAACTGGATACACTGACCCATGTCACGTCTCCCTCTCCTCTCTCAAATAGCAGCCTGTTCTAAAGCAGCACAAACACGTCCACATGTAAAACAAACTCACACTTTTAACAAACCTTACTCAGCTCCTCTTGCACCATGGCTTCACTCTCATTGTCCAGTGCCGAGGTAGCCATGTCAAAAAGCAGGATCTTGGGGTTTCGGACAAGGGCTCTGGCAATGGCCACTCTTTGTTTCTGGCCACCACTCATCTGGCCTCCTCCTTCTCCAACAAGAGTGTCAAATTTCTGGGAAGAAAGTGATACTAGTAACAACAAGCAAGAATTCGATAATTCCTGACAGTAATCTATCATGAGGTCCTCTCTGGCTTCCTCCTAGGTATGAATCCACATAGATTCAGCTTTTACTAAAATGTCCTTTCCTGAAACAGGTGGGTTGCCTCACCAATATTTGTGTGTAAGATAAACAAATTGATTTATCCTTTCATTTCAAGATTCACTGTCTGTATAAATATTTCTATTTAGCTCAAGCTCAAATAAGATGTTTCCACCAAACTAAAAGTTGACTAGAGTCTTGAAAATCCATTAGAGGATTAAAGCACATATCAAATCTTATCTCTTTTCTCTAGCTAGACAACAGAGAAAACACAACGCTAAGGCTGTTTTTATACTGTGAATAAATGACCAAACTATCTTTATAATCATTACCATTGACAGCAAAGGGCTACTCAACATCTTGCACATGTAGGAACAACATTATATTGGAACAACAAAGCCGTGATGTCAGACTCTTCTCTTGAGTATTAATAGTCAACATGAGATGAGCACCCACCATATGTAACGAAATCAGAGCCTGGCTGGTGTAGCTCAGTGGATTGAGCATGGACTACAAACCAATATTGGTTACTGGTTCAATTCCCAGTCAGGGCACATGCCTGAGTTGTGGGCCAGGTTCCCAGTGGGGGCCATGTGAGAGGCAACCACACATTGATGTTTCTTCCCTTCTTTCTCCCTCTCTTCCCCTCTCTAAAAATAAATAAATAAATTAAAATCTTAAAAAAAAAGAAAGAAAGAAAGCAGAGAGCTGAGCTTTACACGTTTTCTTATTTAGTCTTCACAGATGCCCCATGAGGTAAGTACTGCTATTCTCTGCAGTTGATGGATAAGGAAATTTTGGGGTATAAGGGGGTAAAGTAACTTCCCCAAGTTTATAAAGCTTGCAAGTGGAGAAGCTAGTATTTGTATGAAGGCATTCTGATGCTAAAGCTTTGTACACTTTAACCACCACACTACGTTATACTCACAGCTGTAATCCTGTCCACACGGGAAATTCAGAAGGTTGACTAGAAAGTGTTTTGGAGGGGGCAAAGCAGGGGTGGGAACGGGGGCATCTGTAATAGTTTCAACAACATAAAATAAAATAAAATAAAATAAAATAAAATAAAATAAAATAAAATAAAATAAAATAAAATAAAATAAAATAGTACTGGCTTAGAAAAAGAAAAGAGAAGAGAAAAGAAAAGAAAGGAAGGAAGAACAACAAAAAAAGAAAGTGTTCTGGAGCCAGATCCCTGGGTGTGAACCTGATCTCTCCTGCCTTGAGCAAGTTATTTGACCTCTCAGAACCTCAATTCTCCATCTATATTTAGGAGAACAATAGTAGCTGCGGGCAAGGATGGTTGTGAGGGCTAAATAGATGCAAAGTGCTTAGAACAATGCCTGGTTTGTAGTAAGCACTATATATGTTTTAACTAGTAATAACCCTTCTTTGATTTAGCTAACCCTTAGGTGGAAAATCCATATAATAATACGGGGTTGGTTCTGGTGGCATTGTTGCTTAAAATGAAGATAAAGGAGGAATTTTTGAATATGTTGGTACATTACTGAGGACATTTATTAGCCGCCTATGCACAGGAAAATTAAATAACAATGGGAGATATCAAAAGAATATTGTGCAAGTTATTGCCACATAAATTTACCATCTGCTTAGACAGTGATTAATGGAAAGAATAAGGAAATTGTATTTATGTTAAAGTGAACTTTTTTTTTAAAAAAGCTTCCCAATTTGGTAGACTTTTAACAGATTAACAACACAGTTTCAAACGAAGGGGAAAACTCATGGTACATTTCCAGGCATGAAACTGAAATATGTCCGTGATAATTTAGGATTCAAATGAAAAGAAAGACATATCGTAGAAGTGTTTTTCCCTGTCGTACGTTTCCCCCTGAATGGACACGAGGGTTACCTGCGGCAGCGCCATGATGAAGTTGTAGGCATTAGCTGCCTTGGCTGCTCGGACTACGTCTTCCATCGTGGCGTCTTCTCTGCCATAGCGGATGTTCTCGGCGATGGTGGTGGAGAAGAGCACAGGCTCCTGCTCCACAACTCCAATCTGAGCTCGGAGCCATTGAATGTTAAGGGAGCGGACGTCATGGCCGTCCAAAGTCACCTAGAGAGCGTGAGCACAACATCGTCTGTCCCGGGTTCCCTTGGGGTTCTGAAACATAATGCTACCTTGTACTTAGCCCGTGGGGAGAAAAGGGAGCGACCGACAAGGCTGTAGCAGAGACAGTTCCTCTTAGAATGCGGTTGCTTATGTAAGAATGATTGACAGTATATGACTGAAATCACACAGAGCTGTAGGACAGTTTGTTGCAGAAACACAAATGATGTGGAAGGTCGCTTAATTTAGTAAGATTTCAGGCAAAAGGTTTTAGTTTCTCAGTAAAGAATAGAATCAGCTACTCACCGTACTTTTAATATTTTTACTATGTTTTGACTTGTGACCTAAAATGGTCTTCAAAAGACACAATGAAAATAAGCGATGATCCCTATCATTGTATATTCCTATGATTCCTATCTTGTATATACGTTTTACAGTAAATCTTACTTTCTGGCCAGATTCACCAATTTCCACTTTGTTGTTCAACAGCAATTGAAACTGTCAAGTGGGATGAGAATATTAAATTTACCATTATTAGCAAAAATATAAAAATCTTACATTGAGAAGCCATGATGTGTACATATTAAGAGTATAGTTATGCAGATATGTGGCAAAAAAAAAGTATCCAATCAGAGAATGAAATGTCTGTGACAAAGGAAAATCCTGGTTTCTTTGCCATGTTAGCATAGTGGCACATGCACTATAAGAATGCATTACACTGAAGTCTTTCCAATGTACCCCAACGACTCTGTCCCAAAGCATTAAGGACATGTCAACAAGAGTGATTTAGAGAATGAAAGCCTTTGGCATCCAACAAACCTGGTCCAAGTCAGGGGCAAGTCTCAATCTCCTTTGACTCTTTTTCCACATTTGTAAAATGATATTTACCTTTTGCAATTGTTGTGAAAACAAGTGATCATTTTATTAAGTACTTAAATTATAATATGTGATAAATAAATAGAAAATACTAATATTTATTTTCTTAGTTTTATTCTATGCTTATAATCAAATAAACACACAGAAAAAAAGACTAAGTAGCTTCTGAAATTGTATGTTTTTTTAAACCTAACTCCTCAAGCAGTAATCAATAAGGTAAAGTTAAAGGAGTTCACCATCAACAAGCTCTTATTTTTCTTAATTATTGTTCAAGTACAGTTCTCTGCCTTTTACTCCCTTCTAAGCTCTTGTTATATGAAATGTCAAAGGGACTCATCTAAGAAATAGAGGTTCAGAAACTATGAACAGTAAAATGACAACAAATTCACAAGTATCAACAACTGAACCTAAAAACCAAAAACAAAAACTAAGCAAACAATTAGAACAGGAACAGAATCACAGAAATGGAGATCACATGGAGGGTTATCAATAGGGAGGGGGAAGGGGGAAGATGTGGGAGAAGGTACAGGGAATAAGAAGCATAATTGGTAGGTACAAAATAGACAGGGGGAGGTTAAGAATAGTACAGGAAATGCCAAAGAATAGTATAGGAGAAGACAAAGACCTTATATGTACAGCCCATGGACATGAACTAAGGTGGCGGGGGGGGGGGAGGGGATGCTGGAGAAGCAGGGTACAGGGTGGAGGGGAATAGGGGGGGGAAATCTGGGACAACTGTAATAGCACAATCAATAAAATATACTTAAAAAAAAGAGCTGTTCTCTGTTAATTCTGGCCATGTAAGCTTTCTTATACTTGGCATTTGAAGAACTTCAGGAGAATAATAATAATTCTGTTATAAAAGAAAGAAATAAATTAAAACCTTGGCTCATTGAAGAGGCAGAAGTACCCACTTGGAATGCATCTGCACAGTCAGTCCCCTGACTGAGCAAGTGGACTGGTTCTTCAGTGAGCACGGTCATGCCAGGAATTAGTGCAGCAAGTGAAAACACTGAGTCAACTATGCGTGTGTCAGGATGGCCTCAGTGTGTACTAGGCCTTTGTGTTTGACTACGTCATCACCGTGTGCACTCTCCCATCCCCTGCATCAAGAAGTTTCTGGAAGACACACACCATGCCTTCACTGGGGTCGTAGAATCGCTGAATGAGCTGCAGGGCAGTGCTCTTCCCAGACCCACTGGGTCCTACCATAGCCGTCACCTCCCCTGACTTGATGACCATGCTGAGGCCATTTAAAATCTGAGAGAAAAGAAAAGAACAATGTTTAGATCATCAGCAGTAAGGCTACAAGTTACGATGCTTTGTGAGGATACTGTGTTTGTTTGGTTATGCGCTGGAAACAGTGTGCACGGGCACCCATGGATAAGCAGCCAACTAGTAAACAGTGCCTAGGAGGAGGTTTTAGCATTTAGCATGTGACTGATGATTTGGCTGATAGCTATGGCCAACAAATATAATAAAATATGCAGTAACCCTCAAAGTTTAAGTAAATCAACCAGGCCTAACTTTTAAATGTTCCAGGATTTAATTTGAAGCATTTCTGACATACTAGGAGACCCCAAGAAAACTGTCCCAATTAGTTAAGGGACATTTCTAACTTTAAGCAAGTTAGAAATATAATGCTAATTTACTGACCACATATTAATAATAAACCAGTGTGCAAGGTTAAGTTGTCATACGCTTGCACTGTGTGCGGCATATTATTTGAGTGGCCGTGGTGTGTTTGCTCGGTGCAAAGCTCTGTTTCAGGCAGAGACTGAATGCTGCGAAATCTGGAAAGGGGAGCACAAGAAGTCATTCAAAACCATCTGTTGGATATTTTCACCAGTTCAGTGGTGCTTTTTATACTTATTATGTAGACCCGGTTTGGGGTCCTCTGTGTGACTGGAGGGTGAGGCTGACAAATTACCCTTTACTGGACCGGAATCACCCCCCGCCCTCCGCAGGCAGGCACTGAGTGCACTGCTCTGCTGCTTCTTTGTTTTTAATCACTGCAGTCTCCGGACACTGTGGTGCCCAGCAAGGCTAAATGCATACTTGGGTGTGAATGAAGAGTATTTATAGATCTAAGTAAGAAGATATGTATTAAAAGAAGCTCTTGGCATTGGGACTAGAAGGTAAAGCAGAAATGAAATAACTGTGTTTCAGTTTAACTAGTATTGCATGAATAGCTATTCTGAGCTGGTTCTAAACAAACAATATAAAAGGACTTTTTAGCCATCCCTTCAAAGATCTTTACTGAGTGAACACTACTTTGTGGTTTACATTTCACAAAGTACTTTCACATATTTTATGACAGCTAATGTTTATATGTGTGTGTGTGTAATACATAAAACATTAATTAAATATTTTTTCATAAATATAATAACATGTATGTATGCTTTACACATACATATGATGGATGGATAGATGCATGTGTGCATTATAGGTATGTGGTATCAAAATTAAGTTGCATGAAATTTAGTTCTGTGGGGATAACAGACATATTAAGAAAGGGTAGCTAGAGATACTCTGTTCAAAATGAGGAATAAGTGTCATTTCAAAGCCAATTCATCCAGGGGAAGTAGATCTCAATTTTCCTATAGAGTAAGTTGCCTTTAAAGACATCTGCTCAGTAGGTACAGGAAAACTGAATTTTCTTCACCATGGGTCACATATGAGCACATTGCAAGATCACCTTTGCACGGAGGACTGACCCAGTGGCCCTGTGAAATCACAGATAAGAAGTAAACAACTGCAGAGGCAGCAGCTCTCCTCTGCCACTTCGTCCCCTGTCCACCCCAAGCGTGCTGCCTTCTGCTGTTGCTAAGGAGGCGGCCGGGCGCAGCTGCACCCCTTCACTGCTCTGACTGCCTTGCAGTTTATGGAGCCTGCGGTTGCGATGACAGGACCCAGCACACTCATTTCTGCAGAGTGTCATAAAGTGCACTTCGCTGGAATGTGCTGCCAGACTGTCCCCACCAGAGGAACTTGCACATCGTTGCGTCACAAAGGAATGTGGTTTTGGTGCCTGAGAAATGACACAACACCCAAGGGCACTTCCAGAGAAACGTGCTCCTTTCCCATGCTGCTGGAAACTGAGTCATGCTTCAGAGAAACAAGCAATGTTTGGCTCTGGAAATGAATTATCAACGAAGAAAATGCTGTTGTTCCTGGGGGAGAGGTTGGCTCTTACCTTCACCTCTGGCCTGGAAGGATAGTGGAAGGTCACATTACGGAATTCAATTTCACCTTTGATTCGATCCAACTTGTAACCATCTTCTGACATGCAGTCAATAACAGGTTTCTGGAGTGGAATATAAAAGGGATATAGCAACAACATGCATTAGATGCATTTACTGTCCATCTCAATTGAACTTACTCATAAAGGAGAATAAGAGCCAGGTAAAATATTGCAGAGATACACTAAAGATAAGTTGCTTCCACATTAAATAATTATTAATCATAGTAATAATACTACCATTTATTGAAATATTAATGTGATATTACTATATAGTAAGAGTATTATGTTATATTGCACATATATTAATACATATATGCTATATATATTATATGTAAATATGTTATCTACAATATATAGTTATTTATATGTAATATAAATGACTATAGATAATATAAACTGTTGTCAATTAATTAAAATTATATATAATATTACATTAGTTAATTTAATTATTGATATACTACTATGATATATTATTATATACTGATATATAATTAATATGTTAGTATATCTTAAGATTACCAGGTATTATTATATTATTAAGATACCATAGCAGACAATGTACAAGGTGTTTTAGAATACTTTTTTAATGTAAATAATTATCTCTGTAACCTAACAAGAGAGATAATATGTCCATTTTTTTCACTTCAGGAAGTGGAGGAATCTCAGAGAGGTTAAGTACCTTGCCTAAGGCCGCACAACTAGTCAACCAAACTGGGGTCTAACATTTGAGTATCTATTATAAAGGGTGATGAAAACCAACTAAATGTGCTCAGGTGGTGTCCTCGAACACTACAGACTTTCAGTGGATGTGCTGAGTTTCGCCTCTGCTGTTGTTAGTAGTGAGCCTAACCTAAAACTTAACCAGGTGAGAGTGAGGGTTCATTCCTGCTGCCAGACACTCCTGGGTCAGCTTCTTTTCTTTTCCACACCAGTGAGAGAAATTTATGATCATACCTCTATTCGAAGCTGTAGTATAGCCTGCTTTCTTCTTAGGTCTTTAATAAAAATATTAAATTAATTTTTAAATGCCTTAATTTTTAAAAAATAATTTCAGGGGCCTTTTAGACTCATCGTCTTAACTGAGCATATAACAACCCAAGAGTGAGGTGGAATTTGGATTGTTCAACAGGGCTCTGTGATTTTTCAATAATCTCTCCATATCTCAAATCCATAAAACCCCAAAATATAAAACAGATAAAGTGATGAGAAATTTTCTCAGGCAGGTTACCCCTCATACAATGATGACTTAGAGAACCCACAAAGCACCTCTGGATTTACAGGGCTTCTCTTAGCCCAGGGCATTTTTTTTTAGAGAGGAAGAAAAACGCATTGCCGCCATTTTCCCTTTCTGTTCTTGGATTTTTGCTCTCTAGCTTGATTCAAGAGATTAGCCAGAAAAATCCTAGCCACACTACCAGGGTCCTCTTCAAGCTTGTATAGACTTTCTGTCCCATTTAGAAGATAATTTAGTCTCATGAACTTGACCTTCAAATTCTGCACGATCTAGTCCCTTACCATTCCTCCAGCCTCTGTTCTTTGCTTACTCTGCTCCATTACACTGACCTTGTTTCACTCCCTCTCTTTCACCAAGCCCTTTTCCTATGGGAAGCCTTTTTTCCATAAATACCTTTCCCACTCTTACTTCCCATGCACCACCCCACCCCAGGCTCCCTTTGCATGGCCAACTCTACTCCTTTGGTGCTCAGCTCAAATACTTCCTCCTCAGAGATGATGCAGTCACCACCACTCAACTTAAAGACTCCTTCCCACCCCTAATTGCAATCACACTGGCCTATTTTATTTCTTTCAGTGTCCTGTCCAATGTTATCTTATCTTTGAATGTGTTTACTTCTTTATTGCCTATTTCCCAGTTACAACTTGATGATATGACAGCAGGATCTTTACTGATTCTGTTTCACTCTTGCCTGCCGAATTCACAAGTTCTGACTCATGACAACATTTATTAAGTACCCCTGAATTAAGGGCATTGTGATAGTTCCTCATAGCTTTTCACACTGAGGGCAAATTCCTCAAGAGTTCATTTCTCTTCCCACACCAACCTGTGAATGGCCTTTACTTTAAGCATTCACATACCTGGTCAATTGTCTCAAAAATGCTGGTGGCTGCTGCACGGCCAGTTGCAAAGGCTTCCAAACAAGAAGATGCATTGCCAAGATTTAAAGCTCCCACTATAACACTGAGGAAAATCTGATGAGGAGAGATAAACATAGTTTTCATGTGTTTTGGCGCTATCCAGGTGAACTTGGAGATTTCAATCAACACAAAGTGGGTTAGAGTAGTGATACAATAATTTATTATATAAGTAGCCTTATAATGGTTTCTCTGGTTAAAGGGTCCTTGAAACAATAAAGATACTATGATTAACTTGGCTGTCCTAGAGACTGGTATGTGCAATATGCGTTTGCTACTCCTGCTATTGCTACACTACTGCACTAGTACACTGGTTATTAGGATAACTACTGCTACTACTACTAGTACTATACTACTACTACCAAAAATAATAACAACAATACTAAGGCATGTTTCTGAGTGCTTCACCGGTACTGCTTCATTTGGTCCTTATAAAAGATGTGTATGGAAACAGATGTGTGTAGAGGTTACAACATATATTAGGTGGTAGAGCAATACCTAAACCCAGACTCATGACTGACATTCTGTTTACCTCCCAGGCTCATCTGCTGGAGATTGCATGCAGGTGGAGTGGAGAGGTTCCTGTGCAGAGCTGGGGAAGCTGTCCTTGACTCGCCAGCCCAGCCATCTCACTAGGTCAGGTAAAGGCTACCTGATGATGGCTAGATGTTCCTACCAAGCAGCACTCTGCTTTTACCAGTACTGTGTATGAAGGAAGAGGCAATGTGGTAACTCCTCACATTGGCCTCTAGGAAGAGCACAGGACTCCTTCTCTCCACCTTTTCAACCACAGATGCTTGCTAGTCTCATGACTCACATGCAGGTTGTTTCAATGGCCACCATCTATTGGGGACTACAGTTATCTGCTGAGCTAAAGGTTGCCCTCTGCATGAATGCTGTCTTTTTCAGGTAATCAATTGATCCTAGTCTGTGGTGGTTTCTGTGAGCTGGATTCTTCCCAGAGTCCCTCTCCACCCTCTCTCTTCCTTATGGCTGGATCATGGGACTTCTCAGAGCCTCCTGGCCATCTCTCCCCCCCTCTTCAGCAACCTCTTCATTCCACACGTCAGGATTACGTAGGCCAGCCTCCTTCTGACTTCTCCCTGAATTCCCCACTCAATGCATGGGGACAGATGATCTGCTCATCCGTCCTTCTTGTTTCTTTTCCTTGTCTATGGCAGGTAGTTCCTTCCATCAACAGATTACATTATCTTTCCAGCCCTGGTTTCTTTACCTATATCACAGGGATAATGAGAGTATATATATCTCATGAGATGTTATGAGCATTAAATAAGATAATGCATGTAAAGGTGATTGATCCAGTTCAGCCACATAAATAATAGTGATGATGATGATGATGAAGTAAGCAAGATTCCATACTCAGGAAGTGTTAAAATGAACAGACAGAATAGTAATTGTGGCGTAATTTGGGTTAAAACCACTTCATCCAACATCTTCCTACCTGAGCAAAGGAAGCCTTTCATATGTGTTATGAAAGGCTTCCATAATGATCAGGGGTCAATAAACATTTTCTGTGGCTACCCAAAGAATAAACATTTTAGGTTTTTCAGGCCACATGGGCTCTGAAGCAATTACTCATCTGTACTATCTAGTACAAAAATAGCCATAGACAATATTAAACAAATGTCTGGGGCTGTGTTCCAATAAAACTTTATTTATAAAAACAGACACCAGACTGGCTTTAGCTTGCTGGCCATAGTTTGCTGACACATGAGTCAGACTAGATTCAAGACTGACCCACGAGGGCCCTAAACTGAGGTTTGGGGTCAAGTCCTTGCTCAGCCAGGCTTTGCAAGCATTACCTCAAGCAAAGGTCCCTCTCAGGGTTCTTAGGAGAAAAGTGAGTGAAACAGGACCAGGGCAAGTACCTAGCACCTGATAATAGTGAGCACACATCCCAACAGACCATTATTTCTCACTCCAAATACCACTCGTTAGCCCTGTGGACACTAGTGTAAGAAAAGGGAAGGCAGGAAGGACCACTGGCCAACGGCCTACCCATGGGGGTGTTGTGTTGAAGTAAGGAGATCTGTGGCCCCTTGGAAGGCAGATCCAGAGGCAGGAAAACAGTGGTTAGCAGGTCAGGCCCTGGAATTACAGAGACCTGAGTTCAAATCCTACTCCATAATACTTGGCACATATTTCTCATCTTCATTGCTTCCTTTCATTTTTAAATGGTAGTATAATGACATCAATCACACAATGAAGTTGTATTACATATAGTAATTTTATTAAGTATGTCATTCAGTGCTTCACACCTTGTATACACTGAATAACGTTCCTCTCTATTACTGCTATTATTTTTTATTGTTGAGCCCTGAAAATTAAGAGGGGGGTGAAAGAGCAGCCTGTGCATCATTCAGTTCCCTTTCATCTTTTTTTCCCAATAAATTGCAGAGCATGACTTTTGTCTGGGTACAAGTGATACTAATTACAGTCATTTATATGAACTACTTAGCATTTATGCCCAATTACCATGCAGCCAATAATGGTTTTGTGCATTGCAAAATGCATCAGATTAACCTAATTGTTAATTAGGTTAGTGGCTGAAACACTCAACTCATACATACTCAGTCTTCATAGTTTGCTGCTCAGATGTACAGCCAAAAAGGTGCGTGTGCATGAGTGAGAGAGAGAGGGGAAAGGGGTAAGAGGAAGAAGAGGGGGGAGGGGAGAGAGAATGGTCAATGATTTTACTGTTAGAGGATGTCTCTCACCTTCCCAAAGAAAAATTTCTTGAAGTATAAGAGGAGGCTTGCAGGAAGAGGTTAGAAGTAAAATGTGAGTTAATAATCGATGACTAATATAGGAAATATAGTCAATAACATTATAATGACTACATATGGTGCCAGGTGGACACTGGAAATATTGAAAGAAGCACTTTGTGAAGTTTATGATTGACCAATGTGCTGTACACTAATACAGAATAATGTTGAATGTACATCATAATTGAAAAATACAATTTTTTTTTTAGATTTTATTTATTTATCTTTAGAGAGGAAGGGAAGGAGAGAGAGAGAGAAATATCAATGTATGGTTGCTTCTCATGTGTCCACTGCTAGGAACTGGCCTGCAACCCAGGCATGTGCCCTAATTAGGAATTGAACCATGGTTGTTTGGTTGACAGGCCCACACTCAATCCACTGAGCTACACCAGCCAGGGCTGAAAAATAAAATTTTTAAAAACTGAAAAAAAATTTGATGACTAAAATGTTAGAGGCATGTAGTATCCCATGTCTGCAAATAGTGAATACAAGAAATAACAATTGAGAGAATGAGTTATTTACAGAAGTTATAGCATAGCCCACAATCCAACTGGCAAGAAACTTGAAGGTGAGACTGTTAATCAAACAAGGAGGTAATTAGACTGAGGTGGCTTTAATGCCTTAATAACCTATATGAGCAAACCAAAACCTAAGCCTTAAATTCCTCAAGGTTAAGAAATCAAAACCTAAGGACACCAATCAGAAATAGCCAATTAGGCTTCTCTAAATATGGCAACTATTTAAGTTACAACCAAATAATGTCCTCGCTAGCTTCAGCCTCTTCTCTGTAAGTCTTTTTCCTCACTTCTATCAGTGAAGCCCTTCCAATGACTTCTGTTTTGGCACTGCCTGATTGGTATTATCAGGTAGCAGCCAGGAATGAGGGGCCAGAGGGGAAATAAAGGCAGGGCCCTCACCATTACAATCTAACAAAGAACTTACTACAGGAGGCTGGAAGCACAGGAAGACACATCTCAACCCTTGACCCAGCAGTCCTGAGCCTGGTCTGATAAGATTGCCAGGCATCCGGAACAACACAAGCAAAACTATGATAGTATGGAAGAGGAGGGCCTTAAAAATTTCCCTCCCACTACCTGGAAAAAGGAAAAGCTTGAGACTGTGTATTCATCCCAAAGCCTGGAAAGGGAAGGGGAGGGGGTCCACAGTGCCCAAGAAAAGCCCGTGAAACAACTTTGGTTGATTGCCTGCCTCCTATCACGTATACAAAATGAAAAATAGAGTCTGGAGCAAGATAAGGATTCAGGCTAACAGACCCCCACACATACGTAGATCTGGGTAATCACATCTTCTCAGGGGAAATCTGGTACCACCGTTACCCATGAATCAAAATGTAACTCCCTCACTCCCATCCCACCAATTATATAAGTACTCAGGACAAGGGACTCATTCTCTTGGCTCTCTTGCCACATGAGGAGGGTTAGGGGTCCCTGGCCACCTGACCTATGACCACCTCTTTTTTTTTTGGCCATCCAGGTGCTGTGGCCACCCAGCCTTTGGCCACTTTGCTCTTGCCATCCTTGCTTTTGCTCTCCCATTAGAAGTTAGCACTCAAACACTTTGCTTGCTAATAGACTTGCTGATCTGTAATTATTTACTGTTTTGGCAAGAAGAACTGAGTTTCTCCCAAAACAGTATTATTTTTGCTCAAATAAACTCCTAAAAGTCTTAATATGCCTCCATTTTTCTTTTAACAGAACCATAAAGGCGGATTCTTGCTAGAGAGAGTTTTTGAGAATTTTTTTAATTTAGTGTTTCCAAATGGAATTGTATATTATTTAATTACCAATTTACCAATTTGTTTTCCCCCTCAATTCTTATTTGGAAAATAATAATTTTCCATATTCTGTCTTCTTCTTGCAGGCATGGAACAAAAGGAAGGATGTCTTTTCTCAATGCATGTGCTGCTGCAGAATGATCAGGTACAAGCAGCTGTGACTAAAATCAACTACCGGTATCTCTAGTTTGGTAAATGCTGAAAGCTCTGAAGATTCATTAGATCAATAAAGAAAAAGACTTTACACTCAGATTTCAGACCTGCAATATTTTCACTGGTTTTTCAAATGTGCAAAGCCATATCAAGGTTGAGAATGTGGTTAAATTATGATAATGATAACACTTTCCATCTATACCATCCCTTTAAAGTTTATAAAACAGCTTAACATGTATTATCATATTTAATTTTTTGAACAAAATTCAAGTGATGCCAGCTGTTCATCTTGCAAAGAATAACTGAATTTTAAAACTCGTTCTTAGTATATTATGCCCTAATGAAATAAAGTCCATGGAATAGAATGACTATGTTTTGACCTCTGATAACCTTTTCTATTTGCAAATAAAATCTCCATTCATCTTTTTCTAGAAATATATTTCTATTCAAGCAGTAAATCTCAGATATCAGGCTTTCAGTTAGCAAATTTCTGGTATACAGGATTTTGGGTGTGTGTGTGTGTGTTTATTGTTTAATTGGTGCCCGTTCTACCTAGAACCTGGAACAAACATATTTTAGAGAAGAATTAAATGCTTAAATTAACACACCCAATTAAATGATTAATAGGCCAAATTAAACATATATTTTACTGTGTGAGGGTGGGAAGGCATGGGAATAAATGGAAATAAATTCAAATATTCAGTATCATTCAAGTGTTCTGAAGGAAAAGTTCAGCAAGCCATACAAAAGAATAAAAGAGTAGATGAGAGGGGAGGGAATTTCAGGAGAAAAGGGTGAAGGGTTTGCAGGAACAATTATAAAGGACACATGGACAATAACGTGCGGAGTGTGGAAATGGGAGGGAGGTGGAAAGGGCTCGGGGGTTGGGCTGTAGTAGGGGAAAAGGGCAGAAAACTGTATTTGAACAACAATTAAAAAATAAATAAATATTTTTAAAAATTTTAAAAACAGTAAACACACACACAAAATGGATGGTCATGGAAGCCTGGCTGGAATAGCGCCATTCAGGTGAGAATCCCAACAGTGACAATAGTTCAGCTGCAACAAGAGGGGCCCTGAGCTAAGGAGGAAAGTCCTTGGGAAAGTGAGCAGGAGGAACAGCCTTCCCTGACCCACCACACCTGGGTATCCTGCGAGGCGCTATAAAGGTTCCCCATCCTCTACTTTACAACATATGTTAGCATTTGGCATTGTGTGATTTGTGTAATTATTTATTTATTGCTTATCTTCCCTGTTAAGCTGTGAATTCCATCAGGGCAAAGATCACATTTCTTTTGCTCACTCTTGAACCTCCTGCGCTTTGTGTGGGTTTGGCATATAAGTAGGCGTTCACTAATTCTTGAAAGAGCAACTGAAAGGACACGGACAATTAAAGCATTTATGGTATTAGTTGTAGTATGGCTATAGCACAAGCGACCAATAAAATACGTTTGTATTATCTGTTCAGTTGTGGATTTTATTAGCTTGACATTTTAGTAACTCATTATGTTTCCACAAATATGTCTGTTAGCACATATCTTGTGCTATTATTAGGTTCAACTATATGAGCAGTTAATTTTTAACTGAGAGATCACTGACTTTCAGTTTTCTTGGCACATTATCTTTTAAACTCAGAAAAATCATTGTTTTACAGCTATAAAACCTTCATTTGATTGGAAATCATTAAATCACTGGCTCATCAGTTCAAATGCTCAGCATCCCTTCACTATTAAAATGCATGTGTACCGCTCGTTTCTGCAGAGGGGCTCCATCCAATCATTGACACTTTCCTCCCTCAGACACCAAAGGAATAAATGAAATGGCTTAACTGAGGGCTTTTCTGAGATGCCAACAGGAAATGCTATATGAGGGTCATCAGAACCAAGGTACCTGGACAAGGGTTCCTGCTGTATATTCTCCATCAACCAGGACAAGTTCGGAGCCGTACCAGAAGGCCAGTGCATAACACAGGAAGATGAGACACCACATGAATCCAGTAAAGAATCCCATCACTATCCCTTTTCTAATTCCCCAACGCTGGGCAAACACAAGATTTTTCTCATACCTGTGAAGAGAAACATGTGAGTCTATTTCATCAGCAGAAGGAGCAGCTCACGTTAGAGTGTTTCAAACAGACCCCAATGCAGTGGTTTTCCTCAATGATTATGAAAGCACCAAACACAGAGCGGCTGCCAGAAAACAGCAACTTCTGTGTAGTTCGTTTAAACCTGGCAATGAAAGAAGTTGAAGGGATGATGCCTAACATAGCCCCACAGTGGATTACTTCCTGCATGAGTGCAGTGGGGTAAGCTTCACCCTCGAGAGAAAAGGATTTTTCAACACAAATGCTTGGATATGAGAAATCCAGTACTATTTGCCCTTAAATTTTTATTTATTTATTTATTTTTAGAGATGGGAAGAGAGGGAGAAAAAAATAGAGAGAAACATCAATGTGTGGTTGCCTCTCGCATAGCCCCGAGTGGAGACCTAGCCCGCAGCCCAGGCATGTGCCCTGACTGGGAATGGAACCTGCGACCCTTTGGTTTGCAGCCCACGCTCAATCCACTGAGCTACACCAGCCAGGGCTAAATTGTTTTGTTAAATCACATGACGTGCTTCCTATCAGAAAATGATGCAGCTGTTTCCCTCCCAGGTTTGAAAGTACTGTTTGCATCCCATGCACTCGCCCATCTGCCCTGTGACCAAGAACGCTCTGTTGTGACAGGGCAGGTCAGATTCACACCATGGGACCTGGCTAACTGTGTGGAAATTCAGTCCGAGCACTTAGCTTCAGTAATTCTATCATCTGGTCATCAGTAATGGGCACTGTCTTAAAGCTCAGGCATTCTGTAGCTGCCTTCCTACATCTAAGAAAATAAATTAATAGAGAATTTTAAACACTTCATGGGACAAAACTGAAGGTTTAGCCCATTTTTGTTACATTTTTTAAATGTTGACATGCTGATTTTATTAACAGAAGATAATACCTTTCTCCTGGCTGGTGTGGCTCAGTGTATTGAGTGCCCACCTGGGAACCAAAGGGTTGCTGCTTCCATTCCCAGTCAGGGCACATGCCTGGGCTGAGGTCCAGGTCAGGTCCCCAGTAGGGGGCGCATGAGAAGCAACCACACATTAATGTTTCTCTCCCTTTCTTTCTCCCTTCCCCTCTGTCTAAAATAAATAAATAAAAGCTTTTTTTTAAAAAAAAAGAAGAAGAAGAAGATAATACACTTCATAGTGGAGGAAATATGCTACTGAAATTTTTATGAGAAATAAAATAACTTCATTCCACAAACCAAAAGAAGCAAATGACCCATGGACACAGACAAGAGTATGGGGAGGACCAGAAGGAAGGTGGCGTAGGGGCTGGGAGGCAGGGAGCAAAAAGAGAAAACGGGGACATCTACAATAGTGTCACCAATAAAAATAAAGGCAAAAAGAGCCAAATAAAAGGAGAGGATAATTAAAGATTATAAATCCTGTTCTCTTTTTTATCTGGTGAAGTTGCTAGCAATTGAGAATGACACCATCATACTAAATCTACAACAGATGAAATAAGAGTTTAATTAAGTTGCCAGTTATTTTATAAAATCAGGACCTGGCACATGTAAGCACTCAATAAATACTAGATAAATGGAAGAATAAGTAAAAACAACTGTTTGGCAACTATGTTGTTTTGGTCACCTAGGTTTTTATTTCCATTAAGAATTAATCTCCTAGAATGATGGTCTATAATATACCAATGCTAAGTTATGTTTGGTTAAATTGAAATCTGAGACCTTACAAGGAGTGTGTAGTAGAGTAGCTGAGTAAAACACATTGCGTTCAGTAACAATGTGTGAAATTGCACTTTGGACCATGGAGGCTTTTCCTTAACAGCAGCAGACAGTGTGGCGGCCTGGCATGCGGCACAGTATGTGCACACGCCCCCCCCCCCCGGAACGTGCAGTAAATATCAAACCTAAGACGGCTTCCTAAAAATTACCAGCTCCCACCTCTTCAAAACACATACCTAACCTAAGAGCCCTTATGGTGCTTTGATCAATCTCATTATTCTGCCACTTGAACAAAAACTCCCTTTTGAACTAAAGCTCCCTTGAGGTAGCATAGCCCAAGGTGAAACTGCCCCTTTGTACAAAAAAAAAAAAAAAAAAAATAGGGAAGTTCCAGGATTAAAAAAATTCAGAAAAGTGGCAAACATTTTTAAAATTTTTCCTTCATTGTATTTTTTTCCATTACCATTTATTCCTCTTACGCCCTCTTTCCCGTCCACCACGCCTCCGGCAGACATTTCAATTAACCAACCTTTCAACCTCTCTTTTCTCACCACCAAAAGCGGCCACTGTTCGAATGGATGAAATGACTTCGTCCGCCACTGACCCTGCTTTGGCATAGGCCTTCAGTTCATGGTCAGTAAACTTGGACACACTCTAAAATCCAAAAGAAGAAAATAAAATGTAAAGACCAGGTAATCAGGGCGGTCCGTCACTCAATGACTCATTTAGGTGAGCAAACAGGTGGTATGGGTTAATACAAAACTAGATTCCCACTGTAATAGCATTCGCTGAGGAAGACTTTGGTCCATGATCCATGCTAAGCCTCATCCACAGGTGTTTGGTTGTTGCCGTATCAAAATGACTGCATTAAAAGCCGGTCTCAAAAACCTTCATACGGAGTTAAGCCCTCCGTGGGGCATTCTGTGAGACTGCAGTGTCTCACACTCAGTCATTAGAGTAATGAAGTTTTCAAGTCAAATCATGTCCCATTTCACTGCCACCCGGCCAAAGTCCACTGCACAATTCCCAGACAAACAGCAGAGGCGGAGGCCAGAGGTCAGTGCAGGAATCCTACTGATCAGAATATGGAATGACAAGAGAGGTAGTGAGCATGCAAAGGTGAGATGAGGCACAGGTAATTCCATAGGAGAACGCTTTAGGTAAATATTACGCTATTTTCACTCAGCTATAGGGGCTCAACCACCTTTGCTGTTTACAAAAGGAAATAAAAAGACATTGCACTTAATATTAAACAAGTTACTTTCTCTACAATAGGGCTTAGATTGAGGCCTTGTTAGAATTAACCACCAAAGAAATTTCTGGCACAGATGAAGAAACAAGAAGGGGAAAAAATGCAAATATTGTGAAAAATCAACTTATTCAGAAATCTAAAAAATATACTGTACCCACACTAAGAGGGTTTATCTTCTAGTTTTTCCAAACTTTCAGCAGCAAAACACTTAGCAAACAAAATCTTAATCCCAATTCTGATACATAAGTAAAAGTATTTTATTATAATATATTTATTTCACAAATCCACATTTTATAAAACTTTAGTGAATTGAAAAGGCAACAATGAGAAAAGTAAAAAGTGAGGCCATTTTCACCAACATTAAAGTGTGGGCGTTATGGATGACATGCAGTTTTCACTGGCCCTTGTCTGATTTATTTCACCAGTGTGTACTGGCAGCATAGTAACAAGATAATTAAGTATCTAGGGATGTTATCAGTTTTTATTGTAATGGCACATTAAATAATTCAATGGATACAGGAGCTTCAAAAATGTAGATTGGGAAATATCTAACAAGTGCTCATGCCTCTCACTGTAAGTATAAAAGTCAAAGCAAACATAACCCAGAACCTCTAATACCTCCTACATCGCCCCTCCGCCTCTTATTTTGGTTTTGCTTGTTAATTGAGCCCAGTGAAATTGCTTGTATCATTTTACACAAACATGTGCAGACTTGAATTCAAGAAGAAACCAGTGCAGAGCCACCACATTGCGACGGGTGACGCACGTACAGGAAGTTGAAATGTGGGCACCGAGACAAGAGAAACTGTGCTCTAAGCCTGAGCCATGGAAACCAGGCCACGTGTTGGTCTCCAACATGTTAAAATATTTTAACATATGATTCAGGCTTACTGTGATTCATTAAGGGGTGAATATTAATTTATCATGGGTTTAAAGAAAGAGATTAAATGTATTTGGTGGGAAAAAAAGCTGAACCAAATGTTCACAGAATCCCTGAAGACCCTCCACAGAAACCGGGGCTTTTTAAAAGGGCACCTGGAAAGCATTAGGCAGAAAAGCATTTTATAAATCCTGCATGATATGGTGGATTAGAAGGAAATTAAAGCTATTATTTTTTTAGTAATTAATTCTGTCTTGCTGCTGGGCTAAATGTATAATATGGATTATGTTTTAAATCATCACAATGACTCTGGGAGGTATTATCCTTGTTTTTAAGATGAGGAAACTGAAGTTTGGATGAGTTAAACATATGTTTCTTAAGCCAGGTGAAAGATCCAGGTGGTGACCCAGTTCATTGGAGTGAGTTTTTGCTGTTGCCACTCTGTGTTATCTGGGAAACATTTGGATAATAGCACCAGCGGATTGTAGAGAATATTGGGTTAGCCAAAAAGTTCATTTGGTTTTTTTCCCATAAGATGGCTCAATAAGTAGTGCACAGTTCTCTTTAACTTCATTGGAAACAATTTTGTGAGATTATATTGTGACAGCTGCCACATCAGTGTGCATTTAAAAAACTTATCAAAATTGGTGAATTTTTGCCTAGCCATTTTAATATTGAAGATAGAATAAAATATGCAACATTTTTGGCATATGATGCTTTATTATTTCACGAGACATAAAATGCAACTGAAACGCAGCAAAAGATTTGTGCAGTGTATGAAGAAGGTACTGTGACTGGTGAATGTGTCAAAATTGGTTTGTTAAGTTTCATGCTGGATATTTCTCACTGGAAAATACTCCACAGTCCAGGAGACCCACTGAAGTTGATAGGAATCAAATCAAGACATTAATTGAGAAAAATCAACATTACACCAGGTGGGAGACAGCTGGCATGTTCAAAATATCCAAATCAATAAAGTTATTGGTGAAAATGAAAAGTGTGTCTTTTATTTTATGGAAAAAAACCATACAGTTTTTGGCCAACCCAATATTTTGTTAGAAAAATATCATCATGGAGATTGGTTCTTGTTGCTCAATAATGTGAGCTTTTCACTTGAATTCTACTCTCCTTTATAGCAAATTATTAGTGTCCCTGTTCCCAGAACATGCTATCTAATTGTGGCTGCTCTAAAAGTAAGCTCTAATAGTGTCTCAATCTTTGGGAATATGTTTTAACTAGAATAACCCCAAATTTTTATTCCTACATTGTTTCTTGGTCTGCGTACCCAGGGAGTGGAGACTGTGGCTGGGAAACTGCTTGGAATGAACCAGGTAATCTCTCTGAAACTGATCAGATGGAATGGAGAACACAGTCATGACTGCAGAAATCTCTTAGGTGCTTGTCACTGACATGGGAATATTTATTGGGCCTTTTTGACTGGGAGCATTTGAGCTTGGAAGACCAGAGAAGCAATAGGCATTTTGGAGAGTGGGTGGAAATTTGCATCTGTCTGCCTGGAATTTGAATTCTGTTCTGTCACTCACTGGCTGTGCAGTCCCAGACAAGTCCCTTTACCTCTCTGTGTATCCATTCCTTATATTTAAAGTGGCATTCATACTTGATAAGATTGTCATAAAGATTATAGGTAATGTATATAAAGTTCCCCCTAGTGCCTGGCACAATAGTAAATGTTTGATAAGTATATTATAAATATTATTGTTATTAATATATCAATGTTTCTGTTATTTAAATATTATTAATCCCTAATCTATGGAATGCTATTTAATACTGAAGATTAATCAATCAAAATAATGATAAAGATGTTGACCAATGTTATACAGGAGAAGGGACTCAAGCTTGTATTTTTGGCTATGTCTCAGAGCCAGTGCATTCCCATGGAGAGAAATGAGAAGACATTCTTACCAGACCAATGATGGCTGCTCCAATCCCAATGAGAGGGCTGACAGAGATGATAACCAAGGTCAGCTTCCAGCCCTGCAAAAATCCAAGCAGGAACCCACAGATGCTCGTGGTCATGCGCTGAATGAAAATGGCCATTTGGTCAGCAATGGCATCATTGATTTTATTAATATCACTGGAAACAAGAGAGACTTTGATCACTAAAATGGATTTGGTCAATTCAAATGTCTTAGTGAAAAATCCCAGTCCTCTTCTCCATACCCCATTGCCCTTGGGAAACATAACAGACTCTCACATCTTGGAAAACTTGCTGCGTCTTGGAAGGTCATCCAGCCTTGCCCCTCACAGCCAAGTAAATTGGTCTTTAACCCAGTTTTCCCAACTGGTGTCCATGAAATATTGGCAAAGGCTTTTGGAAACCATCTTATGTGTCTCTTTTTATAGCTAATATGTTTGGTCTGCCTGAGAAGCCCCTTTTCCCTCCTTTATATCTGCCAAGTCCTTTTAGTCTCAAGGTTCTCATATACCATAACTACCCAGAAAAAAGTAATATCTTCCTCCCCGCATTCACATAGTTGTGTAACTAATCTATATACATGTATGTGTATGTATATAATATTTCATTCTGCTTATAGAAAGTATAGAATAGTGGTTAAGAGGAGAGACTCTGGAGCCAGACACCAAATTTAAACACAAGCTCTTCTTGGGCAAGTTACTTAAGTTTTCTGTGCCTCAGTTTCCTCATCTGTAAAATGGGGATAATGACACACCCTACCTCAGTGTGTAATAATGAGGGTTAGCTAACATATGTACAATAAATCATGTACCACAGTGCCTAGAATATAGTAAGCAATCACTATGTGTTTGCTGTAATTCTTTCCTGGCACATTTTGTCCTCCCAGTAGGCTGTAAATTCCTTGAGATTAGGAGTTCTGTGGTTATCTTTATGCCTTGCATCAAATGAATGTTATCCAGAATGTTGCATCCAGAATGTTGCAAATCCTTGCATCCAGAATGTTAGTAGAGTATAGTTACATTAAATTAATATTCCTGGGAACTTTCCCATAATCCCCTGTCTAGATAGACCAAACAAGATTTAGGACTTGATAGCAGAAAAGGACCTACAACATTACCTAGCGATTAAGTAATTGTATTCTAACAAGGTCACATCTATCCAAGGTCACAGTGAGAGACAAAGTGAGGCTGGAATCCAACATGCAGTCTACATTTATCTTCACTACACTACACACTATCTCTCTTGAGGTTTCGAAGCTAAATTCCTTTAAACCGGTTCTAATTACTCAGTGTTCAACCGGTTCTAATTACTCAGGGCTCATTCAGAATTACTGAGAGGGCTATTAATGACCCAAACTGGTATTCAAGTGTGAACAGGATTTACAACCAGTTTTTTAGTTTGAATCTTTCTCAAACTACTATGGATTTGGGGGTTTTTTGTTGTTGTTGTTTTTATATGTTTCTATAAATTACTTCAATAGTCAAAGCAAGAAAAAAATTTTTATTGTATTTTTCCTTATAGATGCCTAGATTGTGAAATCCCTCAATTTCTCCTTTGAGGCCAAATGACCCTACTTCTCTTAACTCTCTCCTGTAATACTTCATTTCTAGTAGTTATTTAATGGCCTATAAGCCATGCTGTAGCATCCTCGCTTTCAAGCTATAATGACCATATTTGATAACACATTATCTATGAGAAAGCCATGCTACTTATAAAAGTCCAACTTAGAGACAAAACATACCAAAAATAACTGAGGTTTCCAATTGTTATCTAATTTAGAAATAAAAGTTTTATTATCAAAAAGTCATACATACATTAAAATGTCCCACCAGCTACTTACTCAGAAAATCTTGTATTCAGCTCCCCCACTGAATTGCAGTCGAACCATCCTATTTCCATTCTCATTATTTTCCTAAAGTAAAATTTTCTCATTTTCTGTATCTGACGAGCTGAAGCAATTACCCAAAAGCATATCTGGAAATGGAGCAAGGAATATTTAGCGTTGCGATGTTTAAAATATTCATTAATTCCTTCTTTTTTCCAAAGAAAATACTTCCAATATAACAAATGAAAAAAGAAGGAAAGTATTTCACAAAATGCCTCATTTGGGGAATCAAAGTGTGAACGCTGGCATCTGCTCCTAAAAATGGAAGTGAGCAGAGCAACTGTGAACAGGGAAGCCAGGAGCTCTGGGTTTGAATCCAGCTCTGACGCTCTTAGACACAAAATTATTGAGCTTATTTTTTGACTCACACTGACAAAAATAATTATTGCTTTTAACTCACTAGTCTTGCATGCCATTTCTGAATGAACTTTTCCCCCTGAGAGGCCTGCCAACAGCATTTATACGTAGTTTCAGGCTGTAGGACAATAATTTCCAGAGAAAGCAAGACAACATTAGGACATAGCAGGGAATCTGCTAAGTTTCCCCCCACCAAGCAAAATAAGCTTGTCATTAAAACACCTGGTACCACAATGGAAAAACTGATGCATTTCTCTCTTCAACTAACACTAACTTTCTGGAATTCTTGAGTGAATGAGGGTTGGAGACATTTTTTTTTTTACAGGAGGTAGCAAGAGATGAAATACCTTTTTCTTTAATAAGGATTAAGTAAGTCCAGGCCTTTCCATGGCTTAAATCTAGAATATGCTCAAATTCAGTTTACAGAATTTGAGTCAGAATGCTGTTTTGGTGAGACTTTAGCAATGAAGGAGAAAAAAGATGTGAAGTTTGCTTTCCTCCAAATCTCGGGCCCTGCTTTCTCCAGACCACTGACCCTCCACCTGCAAACCCCTCCACACTGTCTGTTTCTGAGTTTAGAAGAGAGGGCGAAGTAGGGAGGGCCAAGGAGTACAGGACGCTGAAAGCACAGGCCTGTTCTCCATCTCCCTAGACAACTGCTTACATCCTCCTCTCCAGCTGAGGGAAGAATCCTGCAGTTGTCCCCTAGAGATAAAACTGTAGTCCTTAGGGCTGCCGAATAACTCAAAAGTTGAGGAGTATACTGTATATTTCATTGTAATATTTTTGGACCCAGATGTTGATCAAGAAGTAAAATAGAGTCTCTACTCACTTGAATATATCCTGTGATAAGTACCGCAACAGCAGTTCCAGCATAGTAACTGGAAAATTTGATCATTTCACTTTCAATGTCCAGCAACCTTCAAAAAAGGGAGAAAATGTTAAGACTCACAAGTAGGATCAAGCTACCAAGCATTACACTTGTGGGTGCAGAGGAATTTAAAATATATATGTTATATGTTTCTATTAAATGTGGTTAAAGCATTTTATCTATGTAGAATTATGATGAATCCAACAAAATCCCTGAATAGATCTCATGGTACCAGTCACAGCCAAGATGCCTACCCTCTTCGTTTTTACAGGCAGAGATGCTGGGGGTGTGAAGTGATCAATGTACAGTTGTTGGGAGCCCGGGACCCTGGATGGCAGCCCAGTGCTCTGTCCACTGAGGCCCCTTTCACTCAGGCTTCTTGTGCAGCAATAGAGCAATCATAGCTGCAGAACTGTTTTTAGAAGCCAGGCAGGTATCCGAAAGGACCCCAGCAGAGAGGTATGTGCTATAAATCAGGAGGCTTACTCTCCCTGCTTTAGGAATCAAATCCAGCTCTTCAAGTCCACCATCCCAGAGTGACACTGTGAGAAAAGTTTGTGTCATCTCACCACAGAGACAGAAAAACACTCCACTAACACAGTCCTTCTGCCAGCTACAGCCCAGCAAGCTTCACTTTCCAGGGCAATTTCCAAGGTGGAAGCCAAAAAACTTGAGGGAAATGGCGAGAAAACTCTGCAGCATTTTCCAGCACAACTGTCATGCTGCAGCCCAGGGTTTGGGATTGGCAAGGGAAGGAGCAGGGATGGGAGGAAACAATTGTTCTGTGATTGCTTTCAGGAAATAAGGGATTTTATAATTAGAAAATTAACATGCTGGTTGATGACAATCCTGATCTTCAGGGACAAGCTAAATGATATGGAGTCCATTTCTTGAGAAAATCAGAAAACAAAGTCTTTGTCATAGATGCTCTCACACTACATGCTTTCTGCATTTTCTCAGGACTTCCTTCTGTGACCAAGCTTGAATGTTCTCTCCCTCTACTGAACTCAAACCAAGTATTGAAGTAGATTTCATTTTATTCACAACAAACTATTATTCATGATGAATTTTATGCCACTTTGCACTATTATTCAATATCTTTATTAAATACATTTTTATATATGGGCTTTAGCTGCTTGCTCATACTGCCTGAAGCCTGGTACAATATATTCCACATTGTAGGTACACAATAAATGTCTCCTGACCTTGCTTTGACTTTCGAAATATTAATGAGGAAGGGAATAATTGTCTTGGTCAACCCCTGACAATCTCCAAACCAGCTAATATGTCTGTGTTCACCACATTCCTAGTTTTTCATGATGATATAGGTGAACCCCCAAAATGAACAAGATCTAGAAAAATATAAACCTATATGTAAGTATCCACAGTCAGAGGCTATCTCTGTATAGAGCTATCATGTAATATTATGAGTAAAGCCTTCTAGTGTATAAAGGAGTGCATACTTTAGTTTTCTGTTTGTGAAATGAATTTTGGCTATCCAAAAACAGAAACCTATGAGCATTTGTCAAAAAGTTTTATTTAGACTTCCCGTAGTGCATTCATTGTATAGACACTCCAAGCAGAGGTGATAAGTGCCTGCCATAAAAAACACAGCTGCCAGTTCTAAACAAACCTATGCGGATTTAGAGAACTGAGCACTGAGCCAGCCCCAGGAATTACTGGGGCGAAGTTCAGGAGAACTATGTCACTGCCTAGTGGTGTGAAAAAGGGCATGTGTAGTTCATGATTCCTTTCACTCCTGAGACACCCCATAGATAAATGGTTAACTCATCTCTATTTTATACTTGGGAAGAAAAAGTCTGTTTTAGAGACTACTTGAGAATATTTCTGGAACAGGACAAACCTATTGGAAAAACTAACAGAAAGGAAAAGAATGCGGCTGGCTTAGTTCCTTCGACTGCACAACAAACTCTTCATCATCTGCCTGGTGGGAAGCTCTTGTGATGATGAAATCCTGGAAAGGGTTATATAATTGTGCAGGTGATTTGGACCCCAGAATGGGCACCTTTTTTTAACAGCAAAATTAACTTGCATCTACTTGAATAAATTAAGATTCTTCTGACTCATTTGTTGAAGAGAGACAAGGGGAGAGAGATGACAATTAGAAGGAAAGGAAAGAGATATTTTACAAATTATTAATATGGAAGAATTCTTACCTTGCTTTTCCTAACAAGATAAATGCATCATAAGATTGAATCACTCCATTTACACCTCAAGGTTTCAGATTTACTAAAACCATAGGTTTTTTCATTTAAAATATCTAGGAGGTCATCACAACAAGTTGCATTGCTTGATAAGAAGTTTTGTTTCAGTGGTTCCATGCTCTGTAGGCAGAGCACTGACATGTTAGAGTGAACATCAGTGTCAACTCTAAGCTGAGCATCACAAGCTGGCAGAAGTGTGTTCATGTCCTAGTTTCAGGGTGCGGGAGGTTCTATACCGCTTAATGGGAGGGGCATTGACCTATGGATAAATGGCTTGTCACTGGCTGAAGTTGTTAGAATGTCCATACAGTACGGTAGCATATTTCTAGAATAGCTAGATGTTAATTTCAGAGAATCCACAATAATTTTTTTTTACCTGAGAAGCTAGTTTCATTTATTCTTTAATCAGATGTTTTATTTTGAGATAAGGATAGATTCACAAGCAATTATAACTAATATAGAGAAAATACATATGCCCTTTTCCCAGTTTTTTTCCAGTGGTAACATCTTGGGAAACTATAGGACAATATCACAGTCAGGATGTTGAGATTGGCTAATCAAGATCAGAACATTCTCATCAGCACAAGGATTTCTCATGTTGCCCTTTTATTTCCACACATGCTTTCATCTGGCTCCACCCCCCCTCATCCACTAACTACCATTAATCTATTCTCACTGTAGTTTAGTCATTTGAAAAATGTTGAATAGAATTACACAGAATGTAACCTTTTTGGATTGGCTTTTTTTCAGTCAGCATAATGCTTTCAAGTTTCATAAATATCTCATTCCTTTTTATCTTTAAGTAGTATTCCATGGTATAGATGTATCAGTTTATACATCTGTAGGTGAGTTAATTAATTCACCTATTGAAAGATGTCTGGGGTGTTTCCATTCTCTGTCTATTAGAAATAAAGATTTTATAAAGCTTCTATTTTTTACATTTAAGTTTATTTTTCTGGAATAAATTCCCAAGAGTAGAATTGCTGGGTCATATAATAGCTGCAAGTCTAGCTCCTAAAAAATTGCCAAACTGTTTTCCAAACTGGCTGCAGCATTTTCCACCCCCCACCGAGGTCTGAGTGATCCAGTTCCTCCACGTCCTCACCAGCAGTTGGTGTTCCCACTATTTTTTTAGTCATTCTGATAGATGTACAAGGTTGGTCCGGAAAAAGTACAACAATCGTTAATATAATGAGAACAGTTTGTGCAACATAGGTGTATCCTGGAAGCCAAGGAGAGTAAATGGGAATGCACATGCGTGAATAGTAACAACTTCACTGTCCTAGTCAGTAAGGGTGGTAGACACCATTGAGTGAGTGTTTGTACTGTGTCGCTGCGGCATTGAAAATGACTGAGTAAGTAGAGCAACAAATATGCATCAGATTTTGCATTAAGCTTGAACATTCCTCTGCAGAAACTATTTGGATGATTCAGAAGGCTGCAGCTGTGGGCAACTGGTGATTGGCAGCATCAGCACAACCACATGCCCACTCATGTACACATTTTTGGCAAAACATCAAATCACCCAGGTGATTCAGCCCCACTACAGCCCAGATTTGGTGCCCTGTGACTTCTGGCTTTTCGAAAAACTAAAGTCACCTTTGAAAGGGAAGAGACTGTAGACCATTGATGAAATTCGGGAAAATACAACAGAGCAGCTGATGGCAATTGGGAGACCTGTGTTAGGTCCCAAGGTACCTACTTTGAAGGGGACTAAGGCGTCATTGTCCTATGTACAATGTTTCTTGTATCTTGTATCTTCTTCAGTAAATGTCTCTATTTTCACAGTGTGTGGATGGATACTTTCTGGACAGATCTTGTATACTAATATCTCATTTTTCTTTTAATTTGCATTTTCTAACCCCCTACTAATGTTGTTGAACATCTTTTCATGTTCTTATTTGCCATCTTCATGTCCTTAGTTCATGTCTTTCTGTATAGTCTGGACTTATTTTAACAATTGTTTTGAGAATTGTTTAGCTCTTCTAGATCCTGATCCTTTGTGAGATATGTAATTTGCAAATATGTTCTCCCAATCTGTAGTTTGTCTATTTATCCTCTGAACAAGGTCTTTCACAGACCAAGGCTTTTAATTTTGATGAAGTCCAAAGTATCAACCTTTTTTTTAAGCATTATTTTTGGTTCCAAGTTTAAGAACTCCTTCTCTAGCCATAGACCTGAAAATGGTCTCCTTATGTGTTTTTCTAAAATTTCAGTTTGGGGGTGTTTTTTGTTGTTGTTGTTGTTTTTTGCATTTAAGTTTATAATCCACTTTGAGCTAATTTCTGCCTGTGTAGGAGCATTTTGATTGTACTTACTTCTGCATCATTTGATGAAAACTTTATCCTTTCCTCATTGAACTGCTTTGCTTTTCACCTCTGCCCACAAAGAGCTGCCGCTGCCTGGGTCTGAGTCCTCTGCTCTGCTCTTTTGTCCATCCCATGCTGCCCTGGTTGCTATGGCCATGGAATATTCTTAAAACTGGGTGTACATTTTCCTCACACTTGATTCTTCTTTTTCAAAACTCTTTTAGATATTCTAGTTTTTTTTTTCATTCTCATATGAACTTTAAAGTGATCTTGTCTATATCTATAAAAAATCTTGATGAGATTTTGAAAAAAAGTTGTATTAAACCTGTACATCAATTTGGGGAACTGACATCTCTACTGTATTGAACCTTCCAGCTGACTAACACAGTTTGTCTCTCATTTATTTAGGTCTTCTTTGAATTCCCTCATCAGCATTTTGCTGTTTTCAGCATACAAAACCTGTACACGTCTTGCTAGAATTATATCTAAGTAAAAATTTTTAAGCAATTGTAAAT